TATAAGCGATAGTGTTTGTGTAACAGTATTATTTTCAACTGTGTGGTGTTGAGTTAATCATGAAACCAATGTCTGTTCACATTCTTATTGCAGTAGATTGTGCTTCTACTAATTTATTTTCTACGAAGGTATCGATGAAGATAAATTATGTATATGCAATTGCATGAGCCGTGAATGTAAAGAATTGATACCTAAAAATGTGCATATGTTTTCAGACTGTAGCGATAATCTCTATCAGTAGAATAAAGTTAAACAATATTACCTGTTTAAACAGTCAGAGTAGATTCAGTCCTAGAAGCACGGTAGATTGTGTGCAGTTAGTTAAGCAAAGAGTTAAGCTCGCGAGACGTGCTGACGTTGCAAAAAATTGAAGCCAATGAGCTCGTATTTTTTCAAGGCAGATGAGGAATATTAAAGCGATATTTATCCACCGTGGCAATACTCATCGTTATCAACAAAATCACAATTTTTACTCATCTCAAACCTTTGGTGTCTTTGTTTTCTAGAACAATGCCGAAATATGTTGTGCCGGGAAGGAAGATGGCATTTCCAATACCAAGAATAATGCGGTTTTAAAATACATTCCAGGCAAACGAAATGCAGTTGCCGACGCATTGTTTCGAGTTAAATGTGAGGAATGCGTGGATGACGAAATGAAATCAAGAGAGAGTTTGATGAACTTGTTCACACGATGCGTCAAGCTCAATAACAAAGTCCGATAACTCGTCGCTATGCTGTTCTTGAGTGGCGCGAAACCTATGAGCTCGTCGTGACGCAGCGCCGTGACTCACGACAATCAACCGACAAATCGGCAAAGCCTGCAAACTTCTTTAGAGAGAAAAATATGCTTTACTACAAACGCGAAGCTTTATGAGTAGGATTAGCTTATGTTCAAATTCATTTAGCGTGAATAAATACATGCATTGGATGTATTTGTCTAAAAAGAAATAATATTTAAATTACTATTAAAATGATTATTGAGATTATTATTAAAATTATTATTGAAATTGTTATTAAAATATTCCTATAATTATTATTTAAATCATCATTAAAATTATTCATAAAATTAATATTGCAATTATTATTAAACTTTTTATTACAATTATTATTGCAATTAATGAAATTATTTTTAAATTGTTGATTTGATTTAATTTGATTTATTTGTTCACACAGGAGCACACATTACAAAGAAATATATAAGAACCGTGAAATAGAATAGCAATGCTTCTAAGTGAAAGAATGCCCACATAAGCTAAAAAATCTTCGCAGGCAACATAATAGGTTTAAAACTCTATTCTAATGATAATAAGATGACGATGGGAACATATAAGTAATAAATTTTTTAAATAATCAAACCCATTGTCAAAAGCCTTAAGGGAACTAATAACTGCATATCATAATGAAAAAACGCATACAAGAGGCAATATCACCATCACACTGAGTAAAACAGGGTACAACTGCAAACATCTAGACAAAATGTTTAAAACTTGCATAACAATCGGAATCAAATTAATACTTGCTAAGGATGAAATCACGGAATTTTATATTTTAAAACATTTTAGTTCAATATAAAGATGAGGACACATAGCGATTGACGATGTCCCGTTTTATCATTGATTGCAACAGACTACCAAGCAAATCGAATGCATTTAAATGCAGATTGATGATCGGATACCGAGATGAGCTACCTTTCTCTAATTTTGTTCATCAATTAATAATGTATGCGTTGTATGCGCGGAACAGAGATCCATTGTTCTATTACTGAGTTGACGTTAATAATGAACATCATATTTATTGATATATTTTGTTGCTTCATCGACACAATTTGCCCGCCTCGCACGCAGGAGAATTTATTGCACGTATATTCATTGAATTAATTTTTTCGCTGACACGATATATCGCCTTTTTCTTGGTGTCTCTATTTTACAAGACAACAGACGAAGTCTAAATCTTTTAATCAATCGGATCATGTGATCTGGCTCAATATTGCTGACGATATGTCGCCTTTCAATTCGAGACTATTTTTTATGAAATAATCGATACGATTTTAATCTTTCGTCGTTTTCATTCTGATGTATGTGAATTTAATGGTCTATACCGATGCATATTGTAACGCGATCTTCGTAATACTATGTTAATTTTCAATTATTGCCACGACAATGTATGGTCTTGCATTATATTAAATTTATTGCAGTTGTATATATTCATGTGGTGTTTTTCAGAGACCATGACCGCTATGACCTTTGACGCCTCGGAACCACAACGGTTTTGGGTGTGCGGTGAACACCTGATCCATTACCTCACAATGGTCTGGTCGTCGAGCATCTTTAACCATTACAACATTGTAAGTGGATCGTATTGTTCGTTAATACTAATGACGCAAGCCATAAGTTTTTTATCTAACATCAGCGATAAACTTGATCACTGTAACTAATGGAGTGGTGAGTCCAATAATATTATAAGATGATTATTTATTCCTTGACAGGATAGGTTGTAACCATTAGGTGAACCGACATAAAACTCACTAAATTTACTTCCTCCTCGAACTTTAGTTAAAGTTGGCTCGTAAAGCTAAAGTAACGAGTGTGCTCGTTATTCTCATTATTATTATAATTTATAACCATACAACATTAAAGTTATTCTGTTGACGTAATCGAGTCCATGATTACCAGAGGCGTTTGTCTCGTATCAGTGAGCACTTATCTTCAATTAAATCTGCGTCTATTAGACAGCAATAATATTGCGGGCCTTGTTGACCTGGCGGCGCTTAAATACTAACACGTACAGGCGTCAACGACCACTTGGGTAATTTCCCACTACGACATTACAATGTCGATTTACCAGCCTGCTCTATTATTTTGAGTTACGTTTTAATTTATTGTGTATCAATTTTTTTGTGAATTCTATAGACATTGTTCCACGAACGTTGGGAAATGATTTCTTAAGATTATGCTGAATTATAGCGATTGTAATAATCTCTACAAATTTTCCGATGAGCTTGATTTGCTATCGATGTCAGCTATGATTCACCTTTTCCTGGTTTAGCTTTCTTATGTTATATATACAGAGTATACTTTCATTTATGCACATTTTCATATTGACTGCTTTATTATGTATTGCGTGTTTGGACACCGTTGTAAACCATCTCATTGTTGCAATGGTCAAGCTTGTCTTAAATGCTCAACTTAACGTAAAGTCAACTGAACTTATGATCTAACGAGTTTCAATAACGTTAACGTAAATAAAAAGAAACGATCCTCTTGCATTTTGGGTTCTCGTTTTCTTTTATTAGATATACTCTAATAGTTTCTCTAGTTTTATCGTATATTTATCTATCTAATGCCCGTGTTTTTCCGAGCGAGACCTTGGTTCTTACGCCACGTCACGAGGACCGGCGACATATGCTGTCTCTATCCTTGGCATTGAAGACGCCAGCTACTAGGCGAGTCATTGACCTACCGTACGCCTGACCACGCTGACGTCACAGCTTGGAACAGCTGGTCAAAACTCTCAAATCTGCGTACATAACGATGACTGCAGTCACAGATTCCAGGATGCAGTCACAGATTCATATATAAAGATGAGGTGATATCATTAAAAAAAAATGTTGAAAAAATATTGTTAAAATTATTGTTCAAAGTATTATTGAATTTATTATTCAAAATATTATTGAAATTTATTATATTGAATATTATTAAAATTATTATTAAATATATTATTAAGATTATCATCAATATTATTAAAATGTTGAAAAAGTATTGTTAAAATTATTGTTCAAAGTATTATTGAATTTATTATTCAAAATATTACTGTAATTTATTATATTGAATATTATTAAGATTATCATCAATATTATTATAAAACATGCTATTAAACTTTTTATTGAAATTATTTAAATAATATTATTTAAAATAATTTTAATAATAATTTTGCTAATAATTTTAATAATATTTTAAATAATGATTTTAATAATAATTTATCTAATAATTTTGCTGATACTTTAAATATTAATTTCAATATCTTAATTCTATTAATAATTTTAATAATAATTTCAATAATTTCTATAATACTATCAATAGGAATTTCAATAATAGTTTTAATAATAATTTTTATTTAATTTTAATAATAAAATATAAGAAAAAATTCGATAGAAAATGTTCTGAAACGTCCAGAAAACATAAAAAAATTTTATCGAATTTTGTTTCATAGTACCAAATAAAGTTGTCAGATTTTGGGAACTACGGACAAAGTGACTAAAACTCGACCCCGAGAAGTGAAAAATAGGTAATTAATCAGAATAAGTGATTTTTTTGTAATAAAAAATACATTCCTAGTAATAAGCCCTCACCAAACATGTCGACTTTTAGGCAGACGTTCGCGCTTTTTGCTGTATGGTAGAAATTCTGTGGAACCTTTAGTTTAGCTTTAACTTTAAAGCACGTCTTGCATGACTCGCGCCCCAGATATATTAATAGCGAGAGTCTGGGAAGCTCTGACAAGCTCAGCTTTAGCATTTAACGTGTAATTGCAGCCACTGGAGTTGTATGTGTTTATTCACTTGGACTACCGGCACAGGACGACGTTGTCTGCAACTTGCTGACACACGAGGTTGACATACCGCTTTTGCTGTTTTCCTTCTAGCGAGAAAGTGACAGTGAAATCGAAAAAAAAAACATGTTCATCAGAGATTGCCATGCTATGCTTTAATATCTATTGGAAACCATGAAACGAAATGAATATTTTTTGAGGAATGTCAATAAAAAATTACTCAAGATAATTAACAATTAAGAAGATGACTTTCCCAAAAAGCAGCGACACCTCCTTTTGTGTGATTCATTGCTTGATAAACGTATTTTTTTAACATCAATATTTGTTATTTGCATTGTCGAAGCATTGTATAGTATCTTGGAAGGCTTAATTGTTTAACTGGACGCTATATGCACGATCTATTGTCACGTGACTGTTACAAATTTTACGTAGATAATGGATTTTATTTTTTTTATATGAGGAATGAACAATATATTCCGTTATTAGGCACCTCATGCGTTTTTAGAATGTCTTCCTTGAAGAACGACGGAATAAATGAGTACGAGGATAAGGTTTCGAATGATATTCCAGAATCATATTCTCTGTCCCGTTATTTTTGTCCCGGCAATTTCTCGTCTCGTCCCGTTTGTCCCGGTTCATTTCGAGAAAATTATTCCAAGACGCAGGAGTCTATTGAGCGACGTCACTCACTGAAAGGTATATAGCTCTCTCGACTGAACGATACGCGTCAGTCATAATCGAGCAGTGTGGTCGTCTTCTTGCAATCTTCATTGTCTTCTGCAATCTTCAATAAAACTAAGTGGTGAGTGCTTATTATTCTACTTTTTTAGTTGTAATTTTTAAATTTTTATTTTGATCAGGTATATAGTATGGTCAGGTTTGTGCTAAGACTAAGGATAGTGATCAGATCAATTACTGTGTTCAATTACTGTGTACTCCTTTCTTAAAACCTGATGACAGTGAATATCTGAAGGTTTATTCATTTAAGCGAATCAATGTGTGAAAAAATACGTGAAGGGATTTTTTTAACAACACATGTAGGGTAACATGTGGCAGCGAGCCCACTGCGGGTCATGGGCCCATAGCGGGTTTCTCGCTAAGCATGGCAGATATTGGTACGTGTTCTCTACCGCCGGTCGACAGTTTCACTGGGATGAAGTGTACAGATTTACATTTTGCTAAGTGTTTGCGTTGTTAAGTTATTTGTGAATAACTGTTTTAGCACAGATAAACATTTTTTTTGCTGCTAAATAAAATTGTTTTCGATTACTGTAGATGAAGCTTTTGAAATTACTGTGAATTATATTTTGAAAATAATATTTATAGGGATAATTTTGAGATCAAGTTTAGACTATTAGCTTTCAAAATAAAATATTGATACGATATAGATTGAAATGATACCTAATGAGGCAACGGGCCCACGCGTGTCACGGGGCAAAGCGCCCATGGTGAAGTCTTGTGATATACATCATTAGATTTGTCTCAATGACCATTTCAAAACTATGACTAGCTTTTTGAATTACAAATTACACTTCATATTGCATGTATATAATCAATGATTTATATTTTTATGTCAATGAAATATTTTTCTTCACGTCAGTGATAGATTTTTTAAGCCAATAGTATATTTTTCATGTTAAGGATATGATTTTTTGAGTTGTTAATAAATGAATTAATGTCATTTTTTATTACATTTTTTTTATTTTCAACTGTAAAGTGTTGTTTTATCATTTGTAAACGAAAAATATGCAATTGTGGTAAAGGGACCAAGGGTGGGCGCCTTGCCCCAAGCCCATGGGGTGAGGTCCATTGCCCCAGGGCCCATTTTGACACTTTTTACGAAATAGTGTTTCATTAAAAATTAATTAACTCTATAGGCGTCTAATTCACATCATACATTCCTCATTAGTTGTACGTTTAAACAAAACAATGATCCACCTCGTATCAATTAAAAGTCCGTCAAAAATGTAGTTTAAAAAAAGGAGGGGGCGCGCTGCCCCATGTTGCCCTATATGTCACGCCGGAATCGCGGAATTGCAGATACTATGAAAGCGGCAGCAAGTTTGCTGATTCTATACTATAGGAATCTGGGGTTAGATCAGTCAGCAAAGTTTTTTTTAGTATTTAAATATAAAGGAACTTGACCGAACTTGACCTAACCTTTATTTAATTATAACTGTCTATATATGTTCTAACACTAACGTCCGATTTTCTGAACAGGCAACGAAATGCTGATTCTATAAATTCGGCAAACTGGCTGCCAATTCCATAGAATCGGCAATTCCGCGATTTTAGCACGACATATACATACTATATTGACCGGTTTAATTACAGGCGAAAAGTCATTAAATCACACAACGGACAGAAGTAAGAGTTGATTCGTCCTTTTCATCAATAGACGACTTATTAAAACAAATCTGGTGATACCACCCGGCCTTCCCGCTCTGTAAAATATTGCCGTAACCTATTGTGGGCAGCAACCACCATCTTAATTTTGACGCCTGTTCTTTCTTTTGAAGATGTCGACTCGGACACGCAACCAATGCAAGAGTTGTGGTGTGTCTCGGAGCCCTTCGTCTCAGGTCAGTTTTGTATTAACAATGAAACCAAACTAGCATCAATATTTCTCTACCCAAATAATGGTGTCAAATTAAGTACATTGAAGTTTGAGGGGTTGAGGTTGTAGGGTTTGAAATGTTTCTAGGCAAAGTACATTGAGAGGTTTAGATTGATTAAAATAATTCCATTTTACAACACTTCTCTTTAACACACTTCTACCTTTCCCATCGATCTGAAATTTTGCACACTTGCGTAAAGTTAGAGACAATGCATTATCAATTGATAGAATAAATAATTAAAAAAATTTTGTTTAATATTAAAAAATTGTAAAAATAATTTTTTGAACGTTGCGTTAAGTCGGAGCGTCACTAACAACTTGCTTTTTGAACAAAAAAATAATAAGACATATATTTATGAAAATATGTTATAGGTGTAAAATTATTTGATTTGTCTATGCAAATGTTTTCTTCATCTAAAACATTTACAAACTATGGTACAGTAATGTCTTTTTGATTTTGACGCCTGTTCTTTCATTTCCAGGAGAACGTCGTCTGCTCTGAATGTAGAGAAATCTTGGAAGAGGTCAGTTCGATTTTTTGACCTTGACCGTTGAGTTTGACCTCTTTTCGATTTTTTGACTTTTTGAGTTTGAGATTTTATAATTTTTTGTAATTATAAATGCCTGAATGCAAAGATGTATGAGGAACGGAAGAGTGTTTAGTAAAAAGCAAAATGGTTTTAGATGTTGAGCAGAAAATTGTGAAATGAAGAGCAGAAAATTGTGAATGAACTGATCGGGAGAATGAAAAGAGATGGAAAGAAAGCGTACTTGGCTTTTCTAGACATAGAAAAAGCGTATGACAGGATGGACAGAGAGCTTCTGTATCAAACACTGGGAAAAATTGGAAAGAGTGAAAAATGTGTGAGTCTTGTGAGAAGTATGTATGTGAATACATACTTCTCACAGGATGTTGACATGATGTTGATGCTCAAGGATTTTTTAGAATGTAGTCATGTACAAGGGAATTCTTTAGTCTTTTCTAGGATTGTTGTGAATACTTGTTAATTGTACTTTATGTAAACTGCTGAGTGTGACGTGAATTTTAAATTATTTGACGCTAAAAATTAATTAAAATTTCTATGTCTGTCATTGATATCTTAGTTCTGCAAAACATTGATGTCTTTTGTCTCGTTTAGGCGAAGAAACTCGCGGAAGCCGACGAAGAAATAGCGAGCCTACGCCATGCAGTGGCGAGCCTACGCCAAAAAGTGGAAGAGTCTAATGCTGAAATAGCAAGCCTACGAGAACAACTTTCTGCACTGGAGGAACAACTTTCTGCTGCAGTGGAGCAGTTCAAGGTAATGTATTATTATTAGTTGCATCTTACAGTAAGTAGGCACCTTACAGTACAGTTGAGTAGGCAATAAAATAAAAGTAGAAAATAACAAATTTTAATTAAATTAATAAAATTAAATAATTAGATGTTGATAATATCCGCGTTCTTCCATCGTGCACACACACAGGGCGAGGACGCGGAGAGCCTGGAGAGGTACCTTGCCGAAAGACGAGCACTACGTGAAGAACTGCGGCGCGAGCAGGCCAGCCGGGCGCAGTTCGAGGTAAACAGTTACTGATGTATACCGCATTTAGCAACTTCTAATAATAACATGCATTGTCTTACATTAATGAACTAGAAATATTGACAACATGGCAACAGGCCATGGGCCTATTTCTTTAGTGACGACACTTCTATTCTATTCTTTATTAATATGAATATATGCCTTTAAGTCAACCTTGCTACCTCTATAGTTAATTAATTTTCATGCACAGCGCACGATGAGGGAAGCACTGGACAAGATGAAGGAAGCACAGGACGATGAAGATTCCGACGAGTGACGTCTAGGAATCCCAACTCTCCAGGTGATTAGTAAACGATCTTGCATGCAGTATAAGAGTTTTTTCAAATGACCCATAATTAAAATCTTGTGGTGATGAATGCGTAATTTTAGTCAATTGGGCCAAATTTTTACTAGCGCTTCAGCTATCTCGCACCATAAATGTATAAAAATGTCTGCTGAAATGTTCATTGGATACATTCTTAGTCCTGAAATAGTTTAATTGTAGCAGAGAATAAACGGTCAGGTTCCTAAAACTAATTTTTTCATTTTTTTCGATTTATTTTTTAATTCTTTTCCTGTAAACCTGAATGGTGTATGTGTTACAGGAATGACAGCGTCGTAAGCGAAATTAATTTTTCCTTTCAGCTAATTTTTCAGATTTTACTATTGTTTTCTTGTATATCTGAATGATGTTTGTTTTTCAGGCATGACAGCGCCGTGAGCGACTCTATCTGCTGGTTGCGTGTCACGAGATGGTTGGAGCAAGCGCCAGTGCGACGAGCTGTTGGGTGGTTCATCATTGAACCGCTCGTAGAAAGACTCGTAGTACCTACTATTATTACTGTTTTTCTAGGCAGATTGTTCTGGCTTTTTGGCTGGAACTTAACCCATTAACGCCCAAATTTTTGATTTTTTACATTTCCATCTAAACACCTTTATATGGTGTAAATATTTCATATAAAACAGTTTCCGCACAATTTTAGAGAATATAATGAGAGTAGCAGTAGATTTGGTAATTTTTTTATGTTATTCCTTGATTACAATACAAAACATTTCCTATAACTAATAAATGAAGTGAACAAAATTCTTCTCTAAAAACAATATGTTTGAAGTACTTTTTTATCCCTGCCGCACTTAAAATTTACTAGCAAAACATTTTTCTTCAATGTAACTACGCGGGACTGCTCTATTTCTGTTATCAGAGTTCTGAGTTTGTTTTGTGCTATAACTTCTGCAATTTAGACGGTTTTTAACATCTTTTTCGTTAGAAAAATCAAGATCGTGTACTAGAGCACGTCATACTGGGCAGAGACATTGGAGAAATGCGTGTCTGGCTTATACATAATTGGCAATAATTTGTTATTACGGCACAACTTTGGAATATTTCTTGGCCAAATAACTTTTTAGTTGACATAGGAAGCGTCCGAAAACAAAGGTGCAACTCTACTGTTATGAATAATTTCACACAATCGTTCTTAAGGCAAATGGTAGTAAGTAGAATGAAAGCTTCAGAGATTTATTTAATTTATATAGATGGAACTGTTTGAAGATGAATGTTGATCAAACAATTGTCGGTAGACTTGATGGAGTCGGCAATGGTCTCGGCATTGAATCAAGGAATTCAGAAAATGCGGCATGCTACCGTCATCGGCACCAAAGGGTTGCAGCTGGTCTTGAACAGATGGAGTGATACTGAAAATAAAAATAAGGGTGTAAAAGAGTTTGATTTGAAAGAAGATTAATGAACAAGTGACGACTTACGCTGTTGACAACACAGCTATTTTCAGTGCCGCCATCTTGAACTTTAAGTAAATTGAATTTTTATAGTTGAACGTGATTAAGATCACCATTAATATAATTAATTGAAACTGTAGCATCCAGTTGAAAATAAAGCAAAGCAGTTAGCAACTAAACAAAACGAAAGAAACTCTAGCACACAAACCAAGGAATAGATACATTACAGAACAAGGAAGAATTTAAGACTTATGGTTGAGAGTGCAGGTGAAGTAGCGGCGGCCGACGACAGGCAGGCTGGAGATAATGAAAATTGCGTGTGGCTACGGCGGTGTATCAGTGCTAACTCTTTGCGGAAACCCGGGTCTGACCTAAATTACCCTAACATTAAACTTACCCTAAAATAATCTTAATATTACCCAAACATAAATTATAACTAAATTCAGTTTGAAGAATAGAAATCTGATTAACGGTGGGAAATTTCCCACACTGTAAAACAATTTGAAGTTGTAAACAAGATCTTTTAATAGTCATGAAGTTGGGGACTAATTAATAAATATGTTTTCTTTGACCCCAAATAATTGACCAGTGATCGTTTTTAAAGGACGAATAAAAATGAGGAATGAAAACCCATAATAATAAACGAACGATAAATACAAGAAAACTAATTACAAAACTATAAACCGTGTGTCTTCCTAGCCCTTATTAATTCCTAATCATGTCCTAGGTTCGGAACCTCGCTGAAAAAGAAAGAATAAAGACAAATTAAGGACTTGAACTAACGGAACGCTATTAAATGATTATAGCACACATAAATAAAAAACTAACATAAATAGTAATATTCAATATCATCAGCAAGGCCACCACTATAACAACAAGGAAGATTAACCCATGATAAACAATACAAGGACTAACCTCCGTGGTGGATCACATAGCAATGACAAGATACAGGGCGGGTCTACACGAGGTGATGTAATAGTTAACTCAAAAACAAAATGACAAAACACGTAACCTAATTATCTACGAAATTATTATATTTAAAGGCGGTCCCTAACAATGACATCAATAATTAAGAGAAGCGAGAGGCAATGATGCTGTACAGGGACTGACCCAGTGAGGTTGCACAGATGCTTCATCTCGTACAGGGCGACCTGGCCCAGCGCGTACGTACAGGCGTCAGGTCCACCGCATGGCCGTTGGCAGCTGCTCTCTTTGCCACTCCTTTCTAAAATATGTTGGCTTTCTTCACGAACTTGGCCGAATCCTGAGGACATAAGAATAAATCCAAGTAATGTTTTCTGCATGTTTTCTCTGTGAAACTATCCTAGTTTATGATACAACCGCCACAAATAAACATAGATACAATACATATTCCTACGAAGTAACGTCTATATCGTGGACAAGATGTAGCACATCCCAAGAGTCAGCGCACCGACTCGCAGATGCAATAATATCATAATTCAAAGGAACTACTCAAGGAGAACTAGGTGAACATAATAGGGAGCCAAAACCTTTATTATATCAACCTTTTCTATGTCGTGATGGCTTCTGATGGGATTCTTGAGTTCGTCATCCACCACCATGCCAGGACCGTACAGGCAGGCGCCGCCTACGAACGTCATGATGCGACCACCACTGTTCGGGTAGCAGGCCTGCCAGATTGTTACTTTCATATTCATAGTGAGTCTCCATTATGACTGATAGAATAAGTTGATAATCGTTAGATAAATATTCGAACGGTATTCTCATCAAGCTATAAATAGGATTTACAAATGATGCAATATGTACGTCTGCGTCAGGATTTCAGATTTTGAGTCCTCTTATTCAATGGACATTCAGTTGGATAATTTTCAGGTGCTACAGCTAAAATGTCTACTTAGCACTAATGAAATATGCAATATTACTTGATTAGCATGCACATGGTACCAAAAGAAATTCAAAAACAAAGATCAACAAAAGCTCGTTCAGAGAATAGTCTGTCCAGACGTCCATGCCCAAGTGTAACCATCGAATATACAGCGAAAAAATTGAGCTCACCTCGAGGAGCCCCACGGCGATGGTGATGGCGGCTCCAGTGGCTCTGAGCGAGCGGTGCCCCGACTGGGTGGGCCAAGGATCCCTCCTGAGGTCTCCGATGATGTCCTGCAGCAGGAGCTCGCTTGTTGCCTGGGAACACAAACTGCTTGCGCATTCCTTCTGATGCCACTGATGTCAACACCAAGGTACTCCTGCACGCTCTTGGCAGTCTGGTCCAGGCGGCTCCAGTGGCTCTGAGCGAGCGGTGCCCCGACTGGGTGGGCCAAGGATCCCTCCTGAGGTCTCCGATGATGTCCTGCAGCAGGAGCTCGCACCCTGACGCGGTCTGCACGAACCTGTTGGGCTGGGCTGATGGCAAGCCTCCCTGAGAAGTTATTAATGCAGTTGATTATGGCAATATTTTGAAGGCAGATTAGTTGAGTATGCAATAGCAATATTATGAAGGCGGATTCATCAAGGTAGCAATGGCGATATTTTAACGGCGGATTCGTCAAGATAAGCAATGGAGGTATTGTGAATGCAGATTCATTAGGTTACCAATAGCAAATTACAGCAAATATTATTTATTAGGAAAGCTTAATAAGACTTATTTTTGAACCGTGATTGCCTAATTGCAATATAGCATCCATTCATTGGCAAAATTAATTTCATGCATCGCATCATCCAACAATGTACTCCTCTAGGTAACTCATATCCTGTACAAACTTTTGTCCAGATCATTATGGTGGAAAGATAAACGAACCTGTCCTTGCTGAGCCTTCATGCCAACACCGAGGTACTCCTGCACGCTCTTGGCAGTCTGGTCCTTGTTGCCTGGGAACACAAACTGCTTGCGCATGCCTTCTGATGCCAACACGTGTACCTGAACACATCAAAGTGAGCCAAGTATGCATTATTTCAAATCATATCACACGTTTATAGCTTTTACAAAAAGCACATATTGGTTAAGTAAAATGTAAAATTGTGGAACTTTAATAAGAAAAGTAACAAACTGAAATCAAATTGGTGAAACATCAAGCATATTCATATAACAATGTGAGTGAATGACGAACAACATTATAAGGACTCGTCCAATTCCTAACTCAGTCGTAGGGCAATAGAAAGACATCGTTGAAATGATTACAGCTGATTCAAAAAGACCGACGCTTATTTAAAAATTTATTAAATAAAAATTTGCATAGTAGATACATAAAATATTAGAACATTTGAATCACTAATGAATCATGCTGTAGAATCATCAAGATTTGACTAAAATAAACAATAACAATTACACATACATGAAGATAGAAAATTTTTTTCATTTACATCTTTAAGGAAAGTGAATTAATGAGCAATCCCTAGAAGCTGTAACGACCAGCACGTATAACCATCCCTCACCTGGACATGGCGGCCGAAGGTGATGAGCGCCACGAGTGCCGTGGGCGGCAAGAGACTCAGGCTCAGGCTGATGCTCTCCTTGAGGGCGTTGAGTTCCTCCTCGTCCACGCACAAGTCCATCACAAACACGAAGATCGGAGGCACCACGGGCTTGCGCTGAGTCATGAAATAATAGTTTGAATACATCACAGACTGTGAACACATCACATAAACTATGAACACAACACAAAATATTAACACATCTTTTATTAAATGGATTTTAGTTTCATTATATTTTTTTGAAATGGAAGGATTCATTTGTCTTTCATTCATGCCACAAAACATACCTAGTATAGGGCTGAAAATATATTCTTCCATTGAGAAAAACATACCGTACACTGGGGACATTGATGGAAAAATGTAATTAGAAAATGAAAGTATACAAAATTATGAGGTTTCTCAGGCTTTCAGACACTATAATGAATGGAATTGGTTCTGTAAAAAGTCAAGATTTTGAGCCGCACTGAAGAATCGAAGGCCACAGCAGACTCACAGCTAAGGTGTACTCAATGGTTGAGAACTTTGGGAAAAGTTCAGCAGGTTGGTTGCTCTCGCTCATGTTGGTGTAGTTGCTGGGAAACTGGTTGCGCTGGAAACAAAAGCAGCACACCCACAGCTTGGACCGAAAGTCAACCTGAAAATCACATGCATATATCGAGACTAGTAAGGAATCAAACTTTTAGTTGTAAGCATGTTGAATGTCATAGGGATGTGTCATAGTGCGATTTCTGTGCAGTATGCTTTGAATCACAAGAAAAAAATTATATTTCACCAATACTTTAATTCCATGTCATTTTATAGCTTCAGCATGAACAATATTTTAAGGCGAAGACAAAACTAACATCAACAATGTCAATACCTTGGACATAATAAATGAGTATGTATCAATAGCCTCACACATTACGCATCACAAATGTGATTCATTACATTCAATTACCATGGATAAACAGAATTTTAGTTTAATCATAGTGCCTTATTTAAAAAAGTCAGTAAATGGTTACCTTACAGTGTAAAAAGTTTATTTTTGGATGTTAGTCTAACAGCACAGAGATAGTTTGGAAAAAATAGCTCATATTGGATTTTAGTCTCAGCAGATAGAGATGGTTGATAAAAACTCTTATTTGGCGCATCAAATCTCACCTGACAGTTAGGGTAAATAACAAAACTTATTTGGAGCACTAAATCTCACCTGACATGGGATAAATAACAAAACTCTTATTTGGAGCTTTAAATCTCACCTTACAGTTAGGCAGGGTTCATACTGGTATTTAGAAAAAAATTCCATGACTCTCCGTGACTAGCAATATAATTTTCCAAAAATCGTATACAACAGGTTTAGCATGACTGACGGACTAACCATGCATATTCTATAATCTACTACAGTTGATAAATAGCTAACGTGTAAATGCATACCTAGCTCTTCATGTCTCTCCAATGGTGGCATGGCTCGTCAAAGCTGCCTCCCCCATATTTGACACATCCAAGTCTTTCGAGCACAATGTACATATCGCCATACCTTCATGCTTTGGATGGCGAGCAAGCCAGTTACAATAAGCTTCTATTCTTAACCACAAGTCATGAAATTTACACTTTCCAGGCATGGTGATGTAGAAATTGCATGCTGAAGATGAAATGCTGCCACTGCAAATAAAAAAGTTGTTGTGCTGAGCTTGGTGACTGAGCTCATGTTATTGGTTCTCCAGTCACGTAACCAATGGTCATGTGATTGGAGAACCAATCAGAACACACAAACGAAGAGACTGTGGCACTGCCTCTTGTATCATGCATACCAAATACACAGGAAACGAGAGACTGCACAAACAATAAGCACACACAGCACAGAAAAAACACTTTCTTTTTTCTTTTATTTGCACATTCCATGACTTTCCATAACCTGAAATGAAATCCAATGACTTTCCAGGCATGGAAAATTAAAAATAAAATTCCATGATTTTACAGGTTTTCCATGACTGGTACCGTACGAACCCTGGTTATGGTAAATAACAAGAACTCTTATTGGGAGTTGTAAATCTCACCTGACAGTTAGGGTAAATAACAAAAAACTCTTAGTTGGAACCTCTGATCTCAGCTGCCAAACACAGTTGATAAAACAAAGCCCATGTTTGGAGGCTTCAGTCTCACCTGACAGAGTGGGTTGAGTATAGCCTGGCACTGCTGTCTCGTGCAGCGCAATGGATCATAGAGAAGAGGAGGGCATACATCAGCCGTGCGTTTCTTGAGAGGAGTGAAGAGGCAGCCCACAGGCACTACCATCCTTGTTGCCTCCACTCTTGTTGTTGGCCAAACGTTCCATGAGAACCTCACACCCTGATAATAAATATGAATTAACCCACTGGTATAATAATAAATTTGATAGTCTTACTTGCCTGATATTAATCTATGATGTTAAATCAACAAAGTACTCAAAGATCCAACGATTAAATAATATTCCTTATTGAATCACTAATTCAATTACAGTGATAATCTTTTTACTCAAAAGAGTTTCAAAACAAATTTCCCAACTCTCCTAAAGAGTTCCAAAGAGTTACAAAACCAATTTCATCCTAAAATCTTTCCCATTAAAACACCAAGAAACATGGTAGCAGAGATCATTTTTGCTTACCCTTCTGACCATAGTAGCAAATGTGGGATTTTTACACTCATTTCAGTTCAAATTTGCTGATCTAGTTCAAAATTTCGGTCACTATCCTATAGGATTATATAATTAATGGTGATGCTAGCAACATTAATGTAGGTCAACAAAAACCTCTCATTTGCTACTATTCTTCTCATATAAATGCCAACTTGTCAAGAAATTGGCAAAATTTCTAGACAAGTCAGCCCCCGTCCCAGAACAAATTATTACAATTTTTACAGTACTTACATTAACCCTTTACGCCCTGAATTTCTGGGATGAAAGTCGTAAAATTCACTTTTTCGGTTTTAAGTCTCACTTCAAAGCTGACATTCTGACCTATCCAACAGTACCAAAATCGTCTCTGTGCGTTGATTTATGCCTTGACGACAGTTCGTGAAAGGGTTAGGGGTGGGGGAGTTCTTTAACATTTAATAAGGGTGAAAATTACTGGTCGGGCACATAAATAGACAACCTGAAGACGCTGCTCTTTAGTTACCCGGCTGCTGTCATGTGGGATGGTGCTCATGCAGTCGTTCCCACCATCCTCGACTGAATTTCGGCTCCAGTAATGTCTAGTCTTGCATCTATGTCACCTTGAATGCCTATTTTGAGGGGCTCGGGACTTTGTCGCGCCCTACTGAACATTCACACTTATTGTCACTGCAAACCTATCTCCTCCCAGAGTTTTTAAGCTACAGCAATGAAAGAATTTCCATAAGAAATTGGACATTGCCATTGGAAATTGGAAATTTTATTTTGGTTACTTACTGACAGATAACTTCGAAACTTGGTACACATATGTAAAAAATAAATCTAAGACTTTTTTATTCATGTGAATTTTTCGAAAAAATGACAGAAAACGTAAAATTGTTGGAAAACCGATGTTTTTTTCTATGTGACGAATTCGTCACGCCAGGGCGTAATGGGTTAAAAATGTAAATCAAGAGTCATATGCCTCCTGATTTGATTAGTCTATAAAAAAACTTGATGCACTGAGCATACAAATCAATACAAAATGTTTTTTGGACTATAGATCAAAAATAGAGAGCTTGCCTCATTGTTCTCCTGGTTTTCAATGAATTCAGCCATTGATGGGCCAGCAGGTTGTGCTTGATGCTGCTGTAGCATGGCATCTTGACTGAACTGTTGTTGTCCAAACTGCTGCTGTTGCGGTTGTCCAAACTGCTGCTGCTGTTGTTGCGGTTGGCCAAATTGTTGTGGTTGCCCAAACTGGGCCTGTTGTGGCTGAGGTTGAAATTGCTGCTGTTGCTGAGGCTGCTGAAATTGTTGTTGTTGCTGAGGCTGCTGGAATTGCTGCCCATTATATTGCATTTGACCAAATTGCTGAGGCTGTTGCTGTTGAGGTTGCTGCTGCTGTGGTTGTTGGCCATAGGTTGTAGCAGCTGGATTTTGGTATTGTTGATACATGATGTAAAACCTGCAAGAACAAGAGGTTTTGGTGAATAGAAAATGTAAACAGTCAAAAAAACTAACCATACTTACCACTCAGCGAAATCTATATTTATTATGTGTTAATATAATATTATATGTATTATAATATATTAGCAATGGATAGCAGAATTTTTTTTATTGAAATACATATGAATAATGACCAGAGAATGCATATTGCATAATATTCCAATTTGCAGGGAATCAAAATTCTTTAGATGATTTTAATAGATTGAAAGGCAGGTCTCACCAAGGATTCATAATATATTTAACATTTCAAATTTATCAACATTCATTTTTGAGTTAATAGAAGCATTGAAGAATGAAATTTTGATGGACATAAGTACCTAATACATCTAAATAGGATACAACAAGGAAATTTTAAATAGAAAATGACTTTGAAAACTATCTCAAAGTTTAGACAATTTGGTAGTTTGCAAACAGATAGCTGGAAATAATTGGCCACATTGGCCAGCAATCATTGTTTGTACGTATTGGGGCAATCAGCCCCAGTAATAACCAATATTAATGCCATGCTAGCAGTCAATTCTGTCCATCTAAGTGGCCCTTGCCAATTTCTTTTGTTAAAAATAATGTAAATGGCACATTTTTATAAGCAATTTTAAAAAATTACTGGTAAAACAAAAGATTGTATCCATGATTTTTAGGAAATTCTGCCTGATTTTCGATATTCATAATTCAGTAATTGGCTGACAAAATTACGTATTTCAAAAGTAAGTTCATATGGAAAATCTTATAATAATCAAATTTTCAAATATAATTGCTTCCAACAATCTTATAACACATACAGATGTTTTTTTTAATTAAGAATAAAAATGAGCAATTTATGTATTTATATACGTATCAGACTACCAGTATTCTATGCCCTATGGAGGACAGAAAACAGGCTACCTACATTAAATGGTCATTGGTCACTGGTCAGGTCAGACCGTCAGACTCCCAGACTCAGAAATCAGGAAAAAGCCAAAAGTAAATGAGACAAACCTCTACAATTATGGACAATTTCTTCTGTTCCTATTACATAATTTGTAGTACTTTCAATTTCAAATACCTTTTCCAAAATTTAAAATTTGCAAAGTACTGAAAGTTTGAAAGTAGGAAGGAAGTCAAGGAACTGTGAAAAACTAAATGAAACAAAATTCTCAAATCTCCAGTTCTTATTAACAATAAAATTTTAGAAATGATTCTTGAAATATCAAAGGTAAATTCTAAAAACAATCATTTTACCACCAATTTTGATAAATTGCACTTAACAACATTATTATCAAAAGAAACTAGGTAGCTAGGCAGTTAAATTAGGCAGTCCAAAGAAAAATTCAGTCCAATATTCATGATTCTGTGGTGAAAACTAGGTAGTAGGTAGGTAGGTACAATTTTCTGTACAAACACAAATTTACACCATTATAAAAAATTAACTTGCTATTGTTTTTTTAGCGTTTGCCCAATAATACTCATTGGTTTTGGCAATTTGGTCAAAACCTGAAAGACGTATGTTATGTTATAATGTTATGCCAGTTAAGGTACCATAAAATTTAGTGAGGCAGATTAGGTAGCCTAGGCCCCAGCAGTCAGCCCTCAACTAGGCCGCTATGGCTAGAAACTACGATTACGAAGCATAACATAGGCCTATTCGATTTCGACGATGTGCATTCTATTTGCACGACAGCAAAATAGGCCTAAACCTTTTGCACAGTATGTAACATAACATATAGGTTGACAATTTGTTATTTACTTTCAATTTAGCAGGAGAACAGATAACATGCCACAGAATCCCTGCCTGAATTCAACGCACTCCGCCTGACTCCAGCAAGTCGGGGTATTCGGCCTTTTTCTTCTTTAGTTGGAATTTATGGGAGCCTCTGAAGACTTGTTCAATGCGGCCCCACGTCAGAACCGTTCAAGGAATTTGACTGAATTTTGTTTTAAGGTACAATATTGGGTGTCTTGAAAAAAATCGAGATTTCTCAATGGCTGAAGGGTTGCAGAACGGGGCCACCAAAGTGGAGACCACACCACGTACCATTCGCCGGCTCAACGCCTCGGAGCGGGACAGCACGGCATTTTCAAAGTTTGAGGAGGATAGTTCCAGAAAGATGACGTAGCAGCCGGCCGAAGCCGACTACTGTCACGGGAGCTCAGCACAAACAACCTCCTGCCTCAACGGTTAGACGGGGTATTCGGCCAAGTTCCACGTAAGTTCTGTCAAGAAATATATGCAGTCATCCGACTCCGAGGTTTCTGACAGTCAAACCGCTAAACTCACCGGATATGAATCACATGTGATTCGAAAAATATATGATTAGCCAAAATGAAATACGATTATGTCAAAATTATATACGATTCATCCATCCCTATTAATAAGTTTTCAACCTAAATTTTCTAATAGGCATATGTGTATAAAGTCTTCGTCTATACATGCTACTGTACTAGTCCAGGTAAAAAAGTTGAGTAGGAAATAAAACTTAGACCATGGTTCAACCATGACTTAGACGGTCCATGATGCAGATATTCATTTGCTTTTTCAATAGATTTCACACAATTAATATAATTGGTTATAGAAAGTTTTATCCTATTGTGAATACGCGCACTCTACGCTCATTGAATTTGAAGTAACAAACAGAATGAATGATGCTAATCTAGAAAAACAATACGGCGGCCTATAAGAGACAACATTGCCCAGCTTAACATTGACTAGCTTGATTCACAGGAACGCAATTTTGACGACGTCACTGTTCTCTGACGAATATTTAAAATGTATAGCAGTTTTTCTAGGATTTGTTCAGCGGATTGATGGTGCTCGATAGGTTTAATACAACTCATCACGAAGGCCATGATTTGTCGCAGTTCAAGCGCTAGGAAGAGTACGAAGTGAGGTTTCGATGTAATGTTCAGTGTTGCTCTGTCATTACATTGAAGGTTATTCGCTATTTGATGTGTTAAGCTCCCAATATTCAAAATCAGACTGTTTAGTCGTCTAGTTACTGACAGCAGGCATAGGCCGAGTTCGCACCATACTGCCAGGCACGGTTCAGTCCAATATCCTTTAATGCATTTCTATAATGGCATTCACGCCATGGGCATGTCAAGTGCCTTGCGCGACTGGTTAGAATGCTTTATAGAAATGCATTAAAAAATATTGGACTGCTGGACCGTCACTAGCATGTGTTTGGCAGTATGGTGTGAACCCGGCCTTTCTCCTTGACTGATTGGTGGCTTAAGGGAAAGATTAAGTTAGTTAGTTTAGTGGCCAAATGTTTACTAGCGCTTCAGCAATTTAGCTATCTCGCACCGAAAGTCAAGATGAACATCACCATAGAGGTGGAAGGTCTCACATGTCTAGCCCGCTGAAGCTGGCTCGAAAGAAGCAGCGTTAGCATCTCAAAGAGACGAAGTGACAAGGAGGGACAGGTGAAAAGCAATAGAAACGAAGACACTCGAANTAACTTAATGTAAGGAATCCTACCTACATAATAACTTAATGTAAGGAATCCTACCTACATAATAACTTAACCCCACAACTGAGACCTGCAGTCAGACACCGCGAGCTCAGCGGTGGGGTGCTCAGGAACACTCCCCTTAGGAACGCGAAATCCCATAGGACGGGGAAAGATCAAATGTTCCATTCAAGGCAGATTGGTGGTTTAGATGACTTACTACCGAATCGCAGAAGATACTGATCGATAAAACACAAGAATTACTACTCTTCATTAATATTCAGTTTTGAATGCCTGCACGGATAAACGTTAAAAATGCAGTTCACCAATAAATTGGCGCATAACCTATAAATTGTGAATAAATCAATATTAGCAATTTGCCGACAAATTACGAAACTACGTGAAAGGTCAGCAGGTGGAAGAACAAATTACAGTGAGATGGGCGCTTTGCGAAGCTCGGGCTACTATAATTTAGTAATTAAAAATATCCATTCCTTTTTTTGGGAGTATTGTTCAGTGGCATCAAGTGGGGAAAGTCGATGATAGGTTATCAATTGGAGCATTAAGACATAACTGACTAAACCGGATGGCGAGAGGAGGAGAAGCAATTATGCGTCGTTTTCAAGACACACTATTACACAAGAACTTACAAGGTAACGAAAAAAATGTAATCCCAGTTTCCGCCCCAATTGGGCGGAATTTGTCATACCGAAATTCCTTTTTTTTCAGCGCGTTGACTAGTAGTAGGGGAGAATGATTTAGAATGAGGGTTTGAAGCTTTATGCACTTATGTAACTATGAAAACTTGTTAGCATTGTTCTAATGTAGAAATATTATTCAATAAGTTCATTGCTCAGATTCTATGCCTGAAAATCTTTCATACAAGTTCGTGGAATAGCATGTGCACCGCACGCTGGCACATGTGACTGTAAAATTAAACCGTAAAGAATACAATTAATATTCATACAGAATATACTAAATTGAGCCAAACTGTACAACTCATCAATACTTTCACTTTTTGAAATACTTTGTATAAAATTCCACCCGAACCTGAGTCAGCAAGGAAATCACGTGATCAAGGCCCTAGAAGTGGGCGGAGGTCGTGAAAAAAAAAAACCTTAGTGAGGCTCCCAGTAACTGACAAGAACGCCGCCATGTAAATCGCGTTAGAGCTACACCAACCCAGCCGTCGAAGCCTTAGCCTTGTAACACTAATATAACTCGTGTATTACCAGCCCGTATCAAGATACTGTGAGTTCTATAGGCAGCTGGTGACTCGGTTATCCCTCACGAACTTATCAACGAATCACTGTCCTCCAGCTCAGGTAGAAATATGCAAAGTTTGGAGGCGAATAAACGTGCCTCCGAGCAAACATAACGCGAAAAAAATGAGGGCTAGAAGTGTGGTGGCTTTTAACAGTTACAAATAAGAAAATTTGCTAATTTGTCATCAATAATGATACATTTTTAAACCGAAGCGGTCAGCCAACTAAATTTTACTTAACGAATATAATTGGATAACATGTTGGATGCTAGAACTCGCAACGCATCCCTGCTGGGCGTTGAGATTACGTCTCAGCTACGTGGAGTTACGATGATATCTTCCAATACTCCATTACATTTTTAGTTCATTAAGGTGAGGAAAGCTATTATTCAATTGAGATGAACAGTTTAAAGCATCAACACAACCAAACATTCTAAGAAAAAACACGGCTTCCAGATAAGTGTAATAATCTAGAAGAAATAGAAAGAGGAGGAATTAAAAAACTTGAGATGCTTCGCGCACTCCACAATGCCTGAGGTATTTACGCAGTGATCATTCAATAAACAATGGACAAAATGAGAGGAAATATCTTAAACTTCGGTAGTTTAGCCAGGTTTTAAACGGGAACATCGCTGTTGAAAAAAGCATACTGAACAACAAAATTGTACGAAGACATAAATGTTAGAAATATGAACTAAACTTTCATGGGATCTTAAACAATACTCAATTAGGACGGATTGGATTTCAATCTGAGATTCAAAGCGTAACTACACTTTGAGTACTTACAGTTAATGAACGAGACAATTAAGTGCTAGAAGGCCGCATGATCAATCTTCCGACAAACTGCCTTTATTAGGAGTTACCATAAAAAATGCATTAAAAAATCCTAGATGGTAAAATTTTTTTTACATCTTTCCGTGTGTGAGAAATTTGCTGGCAGCGCACCCTATCTAGATTACGAAAAAACCATTAAGAAAAAGAAGAAATTATTGCCTTTTGTTCCATAGGTGCGCAGAGATCTTCAACACTCGTGACACTAAATCATTCTATTTTGACATGGCGGAAACATTGTTGTGAAACCATACAGTTGGGCCTTCGTATACATTTAACTTACACTTCTTTATTCAAAATATGCTCAACCTTTATTCTTATGCTCAACCTTTAACTAAAGATATAAGATAAACTTACATTGTGAAAACTTACTAGCCTAATGTGAGAACGAGGAAATTTCATAACATCATTTACATATAATTAAAAGTGGCATAAATAAAGTTATTCATGACCATGGATGAAAATAAATTTATAACACTACTGCTAAATATCGGAATGATCTTTTAATTTTGATCCGTGCACTGTGAAGAAGTGCACTATGGGTAACCAAGAAATGCCGATACTAAAAATGCCAAAGGCGTAAAAATGCCACTGAGCAAAAAGATTGCATCAGTAAAAAAAAGATATCTTTGTTCAAAGGCACCGAGTTGAACGTTCTAAAGCTGTCACAAACGGCGCGAATGTAAAGCTTGCCACAACAATTACCTATTTAATGGAAGACATTTCACAGGACGGAGTAGTTGATCAGATAATACCATATAAAGAATACTCCTAATAAAGGTCATAACAATAGCAGGAAGGAAAAAACATTACGAAATTAACAAGGGTTTTCCGTTTCAGTTTTCTAGACAGAATTGCTTGAAATTGTCTTTGAACCGAAGATTCAAATCACTAATAATAGAAGCATACATAATAAATTGAATCTTCAAGAACCCACGGGTTGTTCGGAAAACTTGCGCAAGACTCACTATAAATCATTATAAGATATCATCAGCGAAGGACGGAATAATTCATTCAGATGATTCCTCAATGATTATCACAAACTTAGCGCTTGTTCTAGGACTAAAAAAATTCAAAGTTGTCCTTGAAAGAAATAAAGAACTTGAGATCTAAAAGTTGAATCGAAGTTATTTAAATTCAGTTCCGATTTTATCAGCACAAGCCAACTCAATGAAATATTTCTCATTAGACGTCATCAACGATAAAAAATATAATAAAACTATGGTATCTAAAAATACTAAGTATCTAAAGCAGAGTAAATTCTGCTCAAGGGACGGATAGATCAAAACTTAATAGGTACATAAATTAAGCAACCAGTTAAATTAGCTCACAAACCTAATTCGAATCACCTAATATTTTGATCATTGAGTACCTATATAAATTATAACAGATAATAAATTCAACTGGAAAATTCTGACGAAATAAGACTTTTATCTCTTTAGAACATAAATGGCCAGCAATATAAGGCACTCATGGCGACCAGGAGCACCTGAGGGATGCACGAATGACCGAATCACCTACTGCTTTGAGGCATGACTGTGAAAGGCTAATTCTATTCAACTAATCAATGCAGTGCTGAAAAAAACAGCTTTGGAGCTAACGTTTTGCTAATACGAAATGCTGTTTTTCCACTGTGTTCATCAAAGAATCACAACCATTCAGAACATTACGGTTACAGGTAAATCCCGAAACAAGACAAAGTCCTTCATTGTGCCCGTTACAGATCAAGCAGGCATATTCCGTGAAGCGAAGTATTTAGACCGCATGTGAGAAATTAGGCCAGGCATCAATGGCGCGCAGCTTTCCTGAACACCTGCTGCACCAGCACCACGAACAGCAACAACAGCGAGCTCGACGAGGTGCTCACAGCTCCCGCCAACCGGCACTTCAAGAAGTCGAACCTGTGGCAAATCGATTTACACTATTGTTTGTTTGACAGAAAATTGTCATGAATACTCCCGTTAGCTTGAATGCTTTTGTTTTGGATATTTCTGTTGAACGAAGATAAAAACTTCTGAAATGATTGTAATAAATTAAACACCACATTTGCATTAAATGTGGTCTCCTGATTTCATCAGATCAGAAATATTCTTGGAAAAAATAGACTAAAACGATATCTAGGACAGAAGATTGGTCCGGCAATAGCAGCAAACGAACCAATGAGAAGAAACTGTACGTGGAATCATGTCTCAAATTGTCCGATATGAGTTTCATATTTGTAACCATGAGTTGGACATGGTACCTTGAGTTTGTATCCTTGATGATGTTGTTAAACTCGGCCTCCATGAGCTGGCCATCGAAGTAAGTGATTGGATCTTCGTACTGATACTCGTAGCCTTGGATGCACTCGCACTTGTAGCCGCCCGTCTCAAACCTCCGGCCTTGGATGGGTACGCACTGAACATGCGGTCATCAGCCGTTAATAACATAACTCAGAACATATGCAAGCCTGTCAATTTCATTGCAATCTCAACAAAAATGGATTTCGATACTGAAATATCAAACTTATCCTCGCAATGAACAATCTAAATCAGATATCAAACAAAGATGTATAAATTGTAGAGGCAGGCAATCGTGAACTCGTAGGATCAGTATCTTGGTTCATTGTGAGAAACTTGGATTTTATTAATGGCTTGTGACTGAGTCAGTAGGTATTGATAATATCACCAAGAGTGGCGCAGTTATTGGATGCGTTTCATATTATTCATAAGCAGTACACAATTTATCTTCTTAGTTGCTGCTGTCATCATAGCAGAATGTAATAAACTTAACCGACTGCAAACCGTTTTACAAATAAACAAAGGGTAATTAACGATGCTATGAGATAGGTTCTTGAAAACCTGCAGGAAAAATATATTCAATTTGTCATGAAGCAAAGTATTTATTTAAAGTAAATAGAAATTTAAAAGAAATTCGTAACGATAAGGCTGCTTACATAAGACGTCTTTCTGTCGCAGCGGTGGGTGTCCTTAAACACGTTCTGGACGAAGTACTCAGCAGGACATTGATTGATGTCCATTCTCAGAAGATCTACCGCGACCTGCACGGCTCCCCTGAAACAATTTCAACAGGCAAATTCAACTAAGATTACAAATGATTTAAGAAACATACTGGCAGAATAAACATGCAAAATGAATTAATAAATCTTAGTTGTGGACAAACCAGGCATTTATTCATGGTACCTGGCACTACTAAGCTAACGATGTAAGGCAATTCAATCGAAATAATTATTTATCGCAAAATAATTAATGAAGGATTTCCGCTATTATAGCTCGGCGTTGTACGGGCAGAACCCAACTTCTGAGCGGTCATCAGGGCAACATCATCGAACAATTTTTACAAGACATGACACACACTTGTAACAAATTGTTGAATAACGAAGTAACCAAGTTTACGAACGGTGCCCCAGCACTTAAAATTGCAGTTAAAATAAATAACACACGGATTTTGAGGCGATAATAATGTATTTCCGTAATTTTAGTGAAATAACGTGACATAGTACAGGCACGCTGCACAACACGGCTGATTGCAGTTGGATGATCCATTAATGCTGTCAGGTGACGAGGCAATATAGCTAAGTTGAATGTTCTGAACATGGCTCACGAACTCACTTGAATTCTAGTTTCTGTCGGAGTGAATCCCATCCAAAGAAGGGAGCAGCATACTTGACGAGCCACTTCTTGACGGGGCCTGAGCAGTCATAGTAAGGCTCAGACCACATGCCGTGGCGAAGGTCAGCCGCTTTGTAGAAGGTCGGGTAGCGCTCGTAACGGATCGGCTGCATGCCGGTCTCGTTGAAGCGAAGTTTTAGTTTAACCCAATACTTCTCCAGCTCATCAAAGTTTGTAGACCATCTGAACAAATTTCAGAACCTAATTGCAATTTCTTTGTAAAAAAACATCTTAAGAAAGTTTTCATGAAATGGGTAAGGTGCAACTCAGTGCAAGTCAATGCAGTAGTGGGAATTTAATAATTTTAAATGTAATAAATAATTTCGTACGTATCTCAGACTGTGGCTATATACACAGTTCTGACCTAGACTTGAGCTCTCTGAAGAAGGGTTGGTTGTTGTATGCTAGTCTCGTGTTGTTGATACGAGCCAAGTCTTCCATCGAGAACTTCCGGGTGTTTTCTTGCGTTTTGAAAGCAAATGGAGCGAAGAGCGTACGGTTTGGGAATTTATTTCGGTCCCAGTACATCCCAGCCGACCAAACCTGAGAGACAAATAAAGCTTAACATATATAAAAAATTAGATTCCTACAGGGCTACAAGTTACTCCTATTTAATATTCGCGTGACAAATCTAACAAAATCATATGTTCAGTAAGAACGATTTTTTGTAGAAGGAATAGTCAGAAAATGATCAAGATTCTGCAGGCAAGGATGCTCGAAGGAATTATGTTCCAAGGGGGCAGCCCACGTACCTACACAAACAATTACAATTAAGGAGATTCAAACACTACACGCACTCCAATAACCACAAAAGTTCAAAGAAGCACTGAGTGTGGGAGCCGTAAAGCTTTTGTACTTGACCTGATATATAACAAAAGTGGTGAAGTTGACAAATGGACATACCCTGTTATTGCCAAGCAGAATGCTCAGCACCTCGCCCATCATCTGGTCCTCAGTAAAGGGACGGTCCACCACACGAACTCCGGCGAAGATTTCGTCGTGGTCAACAATCTGGAGAGCAGGAGACAACAGTGATGTCATTAGAGCAGCACTACTTAGAAGCAACTACTTATATCAATTGGCGTCGTGCACAAGTACACGAACAAGTAAACAAAATTGAAAATGACAACCAACCTTTTAAAATAAATTTCAACTTTATTGTTTAAAAGGTTTACACACCAAACCCCAGCAGCGTCAGAGTTGAAGTTTCAAGACAAGTTTTACATTTGAAAAATTGCATGTAGAGCAAGAAAAAGCCAACGCTGCGGCAGCGTTTTGGATGAAACCAAGGTTTCAGATAATACAAACTGATAATATAAACAAATATCAACTTATTCTACAATTCTAAACGGCTCACCTGAAGAAATGCGCTGGCAAAATTGGCTAACCGTATCGCCATCCTCGCCTCGTTTTCAAACTGTTTATCGGCGCCATACGCGACGTCGCCGTTGAGCGTGAGCTCGGCCTTGGTGTAGCTCTGGCATGTCTCTGGAGTGACGGACTTTAGGAACCAGATGAAGTTGTTGACGTTCAGGTTATGGCCTAACGTGGAGTTGATGCCCGTAGCGTTGTTGAAGCGACTCGTGACATACCAGTTGCGCTCTTCCTGCGTTAGGCGATTGTATGTCACCGGGAGCTTGTGAATCCCTGGGAGGAAGGTACAATAAAATAAATCCATATGACAGTAATAATGACACATATCTTAAAGATTCATCTGATTAAAGACGTACATATATAATGTATAACCGTAATGAAGAAATGAACACGCATTCATAATAGATAAGCAAGTTCAAATATATGATCAACAAACAGTGGAGGCTCACATCCGATCCTCTGGCAGGAGAAGCTCTCCTCGTATTGCTGCCAGGTGGCGCGCTCGACGAGCTCCCCAAGGTAGGGACGCCGCACCACGTTGGGGAGGCGGTAGCCTGGCTTGCAGCGGCACTGGTAGCCACCTCGTCTGAACCCGTAGCCATCTAGTGGCTCGCACTGCAACCAATTTATTCCATAACCTTTTCAGTTAATCTTCTGAAAACAATCCAGAATCCTTCCTGATAGCTCCAATTTTAGGGACTCTTTTTGCGTATTAGCTGTGTTACCTCAATTAGGTTGCTATTCCAAACACCGAGTGCTCATGTTCTGATGACGTGGCCATTTTTTAAAGCGATACCTGATAACTTCATGCTTGCTAAGCATGGAAAAATTTGAAACTAGTAAAAATATTAAAACCTTTATGGTATTTACAAGCATCCACTTCATACCTCACTACAACTTGTGAGAAATACACGTTTTAACCGTACATGACGCTGGTAAAAACAACATTACTGTTCGATAACGAGCACGAGTAAGCCTGTATTGCAGCAGTACTGTAGGAGTACCTACCAACCTCTGTAGTGTCTTTCCTGCACCGTGCAGTGTCAGAGCAGCGGTACTGTAGCAGTACCAACCTCTGTAGTATCTTTCCTGCACCGTGCAGTGTCAGAGCAGCAGTACCAACCTCTGTGGTATCTTTCCTGCACCGTGCAGTGTCAGAGCAGCAGTACAGTACTGTAGCAGTACCAACCTCTGTAGTGTCTTTCCTGCACCGTGCAGTGTCAGAGCAGCGGTACTGTAGCAGTACCAACCTCTGTGGTATCTATCCTGCACCGTGCAGTGTTAGAGCAGCAGTACCAACCTCTGTAGTGTCTTTCCTGCACCGTGCAGTGTCAGAGAACCTGTTGGGCCCGTCATTGCCTTTTGAGGGCGGGCACTGGTTCACGTCTATTCTCTCGAAGTCCGTCTCCATGACGGAGATGGCCGTGAAGGTCGGATACTCGATGTGCCGGAAAGCGGTGTGTCGGTGGTACAGGTCGGCTGAATAAAGAGATTCACAGGTCAATAATTCAGCATAATGGCGAAATACAGCAGATTAGTCCATTTAGCTACACGATGGCAAGGAGTAAAAATTTCCAAGATCAGAAACTTAACAGTTAATCCATATTCAATATCTATTAGGTCTGTGAAATTTAATTTAACACTCGTTGGAGATTTTACAATTTACTAAACATATTACAGTGTAAAAATAACCGTTCCAGGTTCATCTTCGAGTTGCATTATTAGATGGACCTGGAGTCACATTATTAGCAGAACTAACCAATAGGTGACACGGCAGGCACGCTCCACTTGTTGCTGCGGCCACAGTCGTAATACGGACGGTTGAACTTCACGGGGCCAGGTTTTTCATCAGCAGCATTGGGGCCATGGAACACGTACGTCTCATTTGTGTTGTTTGCGTAGCGAATCTTCACCTGAATCACAACATTGTGGAGGCTTTAGCATTAGGTTGATAAAGCACACATGTTCATTCCTGTAGAATTATAATTTTATAGAAAAGAAAATATAATGACCATATGGTATAATTTAATATGTTTAACTTCTGTGAAAACATGTGCCTTGAAAATACCCTGGATACGGTATTGTATTTCCAGCCTTCACTATACAAAGCAATGTTTGTGAGTGTAAGTAATATTTTTTTATCATTACTAGTAAGTATAGCATTATTCTCAAGTTAAAAATATATTTAACTAAATATATCAGACCCAGTAGGACAAATCTGAGACTAATTAGTCTAGTGAACATACATGGCAACATCGATTTCTCATTAAATTGATGTCCTTCCTACTTAGGATTGAAGTTCAACCAAATTGAAAATGCTAATAGGTGAATGTTTGACAGATGGAGCAACATTAAAACTCGATAGATAGAGAAGACATGGGGTTGGTGTCATGAAAAAAATTATAGAATTTGGATCAATGAACGCAGATACCAATTTGCACCAACAAGTGAAAACGTAACCCATAACAAAGAATTTTGTCACACTCATTACTAAGACTGAGGCATAGAGAACATGAAAAAGACCTCAGCAGTATCCAGCCATGTATCTCGTATCAATATACAGAAATTACAGTCTGCAAATCTGCCATGTAAGTAAAACATATCTCAAAAAGATGAATATTTCTCAGCATCATAATTACTGTAATTAACATTTCTAATTAAAGATCACAGCAGCAAACCTGGAAAGTGGTGATGCCGTCCTGCCGCTGGTTGGTGTGAGGGAGCCAGGAGTAATACCTGAAATTTGTTGATGAGGCGCATTACTAGCATGGCTAATAATAATAATAAATTTGCTAAGTCTTCCAACTGAATATTCAGTCATAATATCAAAAGACAATAATTCTAGGGTCAAAACAAGCCCCTGTATCAAACCTACTTTTCATTATAATAGAATTATTGAACAAATCTATTATCTTCTATTGTACCAAAATAAAGTTGATTTAACTATAATTGGAATATACATATAGAACTATTAAGTGCATTTCAAAGGCTAGCAACACTCAACAAACAACTCATACTTGCATGACCAGCATTACCACTAACCACTCATTAATGAAGTATCCACTAACCACTCATTAATGAAGTATCCACTAACCACTCATTAATGAAGTAGTCCTCCAGTGTGTAGTTCTTACTAGTCTCTCCTGATGGCAAGATGGCGCCCAAGTCATCGACCTAAGTTTCAAAGCAACACTTGTGTTAATAACACGGCAATATTGAGGTAGCTAGATTACTATCCAAAATTAAAATGTAGAAGAAAAATACTAAATATTAAATCAATATTAGTAACGTGCTACAATCTTCTTCTAAAAAAAATAGATAGTACAATTGTTCATCACATTCATTAGGTAGGTTTTGTCAAAACAAATGTGCCTTTCTAGAAACAACACAGAATTTCTAATTAATGTACCATGTTTAATAAAGGAAAATCTTACTTGAAAGAAATTCAACGTAGAAGTTCTTTCCATGTGTACTGGATCATTGAAGTCGTCCATCCTGAAAATAAAAAAAAAATCTTTGAAAAACAACATTGCAGCCCATTTTTATTTTTAATAGGTACCCAAATACAAGAGGGACGACATAAAAAACTTCAAATGATTCAATAACATCATTACTGAAGAACACATTTTGAAAATTTATGTAAAACCACTAAAAAATTTATATAGAATCAAAATCTAGCCAACTGTAGAGCACAAAATAATTGATCACAAATAGTTGGAATCTTGGGTGGAATCAAAAAGAATCCACTGACCTGAAAGCTCTGGGAGCAAACAGTGGCATAGTTTTGTTGTAGAAGCCAGAGTACGACGATGTGTAGGCCATGTTAGGCTGGAAGTATATGGCTGATGAGTTGATTTTGGGGTTTGCAGCAACGTCAGCCACGCAGCTTAGGAAGTAGTACATGAACCCAGGGTCCAACTCGTATGCATTTTCGGACTCATTTGCTGTGGAGAAGAATAATGAGGCAAATTTTTATTGAAAAAATTAAACCATGCAGAACTCTTGCAGTTAAGCAAGATTTATCACACTGTTGAATAAAACGGGTGATAAATCACCCAGTTGAATAAAAAGGAAAGTCTCTTAGTTTACCTACTACAGCTTTGGGCCAGGATACGATCGAACATTTACAGTTAAATCAACAGGACAAGTATGAAAATTTGAGGCGATTGTGCTACTTAATTTAAGCTATGTCTCATTTATACCCACTAGTCAAAATCTGAGAGAAACCTATTCAACGGCTCACGTGTCCTTGGCGGTTTCAATGACGAATGATTAAAATCAAAATAGACAATGCTTAAAATAGTTAAATTTATATAACTTTTGTTAAAATTGTAATATGCACTTGGTAAAATATTTCAACAAACTTCAATTAAAATGACATTCACCGGTTGAAATTGATGAGCTCGGCAAGTCACAAGACACTTTGAATTGCATGAAGTGAAGTGTTGCACACAGTAACAATTGTCAGCATTAATTAACGGTCGCCACTGGCAGACTTGGCTGCAACAGTGCTGCTTAGGTACAGACAGCTCTCTGAACTAGACCATTCAGGTACAGACAGCTCTCCAAACTAGAACGTTCAGGAACAGACAGCTCTCCGAACTAGACAGCTTAGGTACAGACAGCTCTCTGAACTAGACCATTCAGGTACAGACAGCTCTCCGAACTAGACAGCTTAGGTACAGACAGGTCTCCAAACGCGAACATTCAGGCTGACAGCAGGCAATCAACTGGCTGCTGCCGCCACCGCTAGCGCCAATCAAGACCAGCACTACTACAACAACAACAAGTACTACAACAACAACAAGACCAACAGCAGTTGGCAGTTCAAAGGTCCTAACGCAATGTATATGACGCGACAAAAAAATGTGTGCTACCTTGTAATTAGAAGTTATTCACAGGGTGATGAATTCAAAATCCTACAAAGCAAAATGAAAATAGAATGTAACTTTGGGAATGGCAGTTTTCCATCGTTCACAACACAAATTAAACAAGTAATAAAACTACGTTTCTGTAGTTAAATCCATTTCAAGAAGAACATGGATGAGATTTTAAAAGTTTTGTGTGCATTTGAGGTTCATTTTACCATTTCTCTACTATGCATAAATGAGTGCTTAAGCCAACCATGAAGCCGTTAAGAATATTTAAAGGAAGTTTAATATGCAAATAATTTTTCCATTTATTAAGGCAAAATTCAATCAATCATTATGAGATGCAAGGTATTTCATCATTATAATTCCAGGAAATTATATTTTCATCAGATATATAAATATAATTTTATAGCTATATCCAGTTGATATTTATCATCACCTTGAGAGCCTTCAGATTTACCCTTAACTTGGAAGGAAGAATAGTCCTTGACAAAATGAAATTGACGTCCACCGGAAATCTCTTGCAGAAACTTATTTCAATTCCTAAACAAGAAAAATTAATGGAATTTGAAACTGGTATACAGGATATTTACCAGGAGGAGGTCTCTTGAATCTGGTCTGCAGGATATAGGAGTAAAAGAAAGCTCTGGCATGGGCCATGTTGTGCAGGTGCAGGAGTCCTGTCCTGTTAGGGAAGACTGGGTTGATGTTCACATCCTGGATGTCGGGGATGTGAGAGACTGTGTCCACCGGCAGGAACAAGTTGCTCTGTGAAAGTTCCAATTAGTTTCAGACATAAAAATTGGCATATCATAAATAAAATATATCCAAAGGCATAAAATCCTGAGCATTATTTTTGTAACACGTTTTCTTCATTACCATATATAATGTATTGTATATTAAACCAAATTGATCAAAGTTTAGAAACTAATGTAAGTCACTTATTGAAAAACGCTTTACAAATATGCATGACATAAAACGAAATATGTAGCATGAATATTAATTATGATCTATCATATAAAATTGTCAAGCAATAATGTTAATAATTCAGAGTCATAACTAGCAAATCTTCTGTACTACCAGTTGGTTGTGGGCATCAGAAAAAAGAATTTTGAAATCAATGAATAAATTGGTATTGAATTAAATATCATAATATGGTCATGAGTGAGCCTGCTTATCATTCCATTCAAAGGCTTCACAATAATATATAAATAAATAAAAAATTCCACTCAAGGAACAATGTTCTGTCAAGAGTAGCTAACCAGTTTTGCAAGAGTTAGGAACTAAAATTTTACAATGAATAGTAAAGATTTGCTAGTATTCACCCCAATACCTACATCAATGTAATTACAATCATCTATTATATTTCCTTAATACAACCACACATACACATGTATTGGAACCAAAATCAAACAGTTGTGCTTCCTTGAATCTAAGCAACAAAATTTATGAATTTTCACCAGATAATTTCCAGGAGAATGTAAATTGTTGAGAAATATAAAAAAGTATGTTATCAAAATGGAAATGAATCCTCAATAAAGCTATTTCACTTACAAAATAACTTCAAAATTTGATATTATAAGTGCAATTATTACTTACTCTTGGTTTAATGTGGCAGTTTTCAGGAGTAATGCTGTGGTATAGAGCCTCCACTTGATCAAACTCATCAAGCTCATGGTGTTTGAACTGCGCTGCCACCATGAGAACCCAGACAAACCATAATAATACTCCCCACCACTTGATGCAGCAGTCAGACATGACTACAACTTTCAGTGCTTAAGTATTGTAAAAATTAACATAAAATAACTTACTTAAGCTCTCTTAAGTACTATAAATGTTTACTCATAACTGTTTGGTTTAGTAATCTGTAGAATATGCCTGGAATATAAAACAGTGACTGTTCATCAAACTGAAATAATTATTTCTTGCTGATAACCATGCTTAATACACATATATACCATACCTATATAATAAGAAAAACACCTGAATTTTTACAACATAATTTTTGAATAAGTTATCATCAATGAAATGCAACATATTTTCATGGTTTATTGTTTATTGCTGCTGTTAATTGATATTTTATCCTTGCAGATATTTTTAATAAATTTTTCTATCTATACCTAACTTATAACCTATAGCAAGCCTCCTTGACTTTCAAAGGGCCAAATTGTAGGTGCCCATATATGGCAGATGCTAGTGTGACAGAAACTTCCCAAATGTTTGACATTTCTTACATCAGAAACTTAATGACTGCTTTTGAAAGAGGAGGAAAAACGTCCTCAGCAAAGCATAGGTTTGGCCAAAAGTTAAAGTTGTTGGAGAGAGGCCGTCATTACCTAAGTCGAATTGTGAGGATTAATCAATTAAAAACAGCTATTAAAATTACTGCAGACTTTAATGGACACATACAGAACCCAGTTTCCATAAAGACAGTCCACCGAGAGCTGCATAGATCTGGATCTATGGAAGATGAGTGCATCAAACTATGTTCACACACCAAGATGCCCACAAAATTGATGATGAGTGCATCAAAATTGACAAGATAAGAGTTTTGAGAGAGAGGAATGCAGGGGAAATTTAATCATAAATAAGTGAGAAAACAGCACAGGTGTGTGTAGATCAAACCCCAAGAAGAATTGGTTCTCAAGTTTGTAGCATTTAGAGAGACCAACAAATTCTGATGAGAAATTGTGGGAAAATCAACAACCAAATGCCAAATCTTTTACTGATTGGAGGAGACAGAGAACAGTAGATCTTCACAAAGAAATCAAATGCAGATTATGGGATTTACATTTGACAGAGGAACCAGCTGTAAGGAGTAAGTAATTAGGATCATCAGAAAACAAAAATGATATATTCAAATGTCCTCAAGGCAAAAATAAACAACAGTGGGCCCACTGCTGGATAATGATGTCCTTGCTGGAGATGACCAGGGCACATATGAGTTGCTGGGAGTGCAGTTGGCATCAATATTCAATAACCCAGGCTATTGAAGATAAGGAAATGAATTTGAAGTCCTTGAGAAGCTTTAATGAAGAAGGCAAGGAGAAAAGGTTGGAAAACATTAAGTTTGACAAAAAGATATGGATAGAAGCATCAAAGAGCTGCCAAGGTTTCCAGCTCTAGGATCCATTAGTGTTCCAGCATTGTTGCTGTTGGGGCAACTTGTTGCCACAAAAAGTATTGATAATGTTGGTAAAGTGTCAAGGAAGAAGTGTGTCAAGAGTGCTGAAGGCCACGCTCACAATGCTCTGTAAGCCTCATTGACGGAGGGAACTATTCCTGAAGGCCTCAAAGGGGAACTGATAATGCAAATTCACAAATGAGTACTGTGAGACATCCTAAAATTACAGACTAATGACCTTGACCATGCAGGTGATCAAGGTGTCCAAGAAGGTCACAGCCAAAAGGATTCTCCAGTATCTGGACTGTATAATAACGGACAACACAATTGGTGGCAAGTTTATAGCAGTTATTGGAGCACCACCACAATTTCTGGAAAATTAAGGGCAGAAAAATATTGCTTTAGGACAATTTTTTTTAATTTGCAGTAAAAAATGTGCCATTTATCATTGATATATTATAAAATATATAAGGCAAAGATCAAAATATGAGTGAAATTGACCAAAAAAAAGCCATTATTGTCTTATTTACAAGTTTTTTCTACCCAAATTTTTCAAAATGGTGATTGGCTAAATCATGATTCCACTTAGCCTACAGGCTTTCAGGTCCAGCTTCAAAAATAACAAACTAAATAAACTATTTTGCTAGTAGGCCTATGTCAGTAGGGTAAACGTGGTATATTCCGACATCGTAGGTAATTCCGTCACCTCTCCAGCTTTTCCTTTATATTAAGCTTTGTTTTAGTTCCATGCGTTAGGATGTTGCCACACAAAGTGACGGAATATAGGGATTTGGTAGGTTTCCATTCTAAAGGCTTTTTAATAAATACGGCAACATTTTGTGACGTTTCATCATTGCTGATGAGTAGTGAAGTGTTTTGAGAGTCATGTGAAGCCAGTGAAGGCAACAGAACTTACGTAACGCATACATTTTTTTTTATAGTTTTTCATTTCTCGATGCATCCTTAATGTGTCGGAATATCACGCGTTTACCCTATGTTGTTAGAAGGACAAAATTTATTGGTTAGCTTTGGATAAAATGTAAAAGCAATTTTGGAAAATTGGCCAGATGTGAGACGCCTTCATCTGTGAATGTGAATAGGACATAGGCCTAAATGTCCATGGTAGCTATGATGGTTCCAGCCTTCCAGCAAATATCTCGTCATTCTTTTATAGCTCATGCCTAATTTTTTTATAAAAAATGAAACATTTTTACCTGTGACTTGTGAGTCATAAAAATTGTCAGTCAAGTGTAAATCCATAATTTTTTTACAAGATTTTTAGAAAATTCTGCCCAATAATCTAGCTAAATTGGGTTAAAAGTAGCTAGTTCAAAAGTTAAAATTTCAAACTTTAAAACTATGACCTCTAAATTGAAAATTAGGCAGTGGCCTGCAGTAAATTGAATAAAAATGATGGTGACCCTGGACATTGGCCAATTTCACGCATTCCCAAGGGCCAAGGCTTTTCACAATTTCTTTAATCATTTAATGCAGTGGTTCCCAAACTTTTTCAGGCTGGCGCCCCCTTTGGCCCCCTAGTGAATTTCTAGCGCCCCCCACAGACATACGCCACTCTCTTGAAATTTAGTACGCTGAAATTTTAAAAGATGAAGGTTAAACACAAATGTGTATTTCACAAATAGAACCCCATTTAGTGAACCAATATGTTTTTCAGCTGTTTTAACTGTTTCAGCACTAGAAGCCAAGGACGTCGCGGGCGAATTTATGGCCCGGACTCATGGCCGGTCTCACGACCAATCTCCAAATTCAATTATCAAGAAAATATCTCCCAAACAAATGAACGCAGCTCTATGAAACTTGGAACACGCATTCTTCAGAATCTAACGGTGATGTTTAGCTAGTAAATTTTTTTAAATTTCACCTTCATTCGTGAATCGTGAGTTGCGCGTATATTGCGAAACAGGCCAAAATTCGCATTGATCAAAGAATTTCTTCAAACTATTGAACAGATTTGAAAGAAATTTTGAATATACATTCCTAACTACCAAACGGTGATTTTTTAGATTATAATTTTTTTTTATTTTACCTTCGTTTGCGAGTTTTTTTCATTTCACCGTCATTCTTGATTTCACACTTCCTGATATTCGGCCCGTATCGCCGGGTAATTTGTCGCTTAAATTCGCGGCGATCAAGAAATTTCTTCTAAAATACAGAACAGATTTCAACGAAACTTTGTACAAAAATATATAACCTCTCAACAGTGATGTTTAGCACGTGACAATTTTTCCATTTTGCTTTTGTTCGCGAGTTAATAATAATCTGTTCAGTAGTTCGGAAAAAAAATTCTTGATTACTGCGAATTTAAGCACAAATTGTTGTTTAAATCGCGAATGAAGGTGAAATGAAAAAAAAAACTTGCAAACGAAGGCACAATCGAAAAATTTTTAGTTAGAACTGTAAATTCAAAATTTTGTTCAAATCAGCTCAGTAGTTTGGAATAAATTACTCGATCACTGTGAATTTTGGTCCGTATTGGCATATAACTATGGCAAAAACGAACGATGGCAAAATTCAAACAATTTTCACGAGCAAAACATTACCGTTAGGTCCTAATGAATACGTGTACCAAGTTTCATCGAGTTAAGGGGACCGCCCTAGCATACGAAAACTTCTACAGTTATTATCCGATTGTCATGAAACTTCACATACATACGTAAAATGTAAAAAAAAAACATTTTGCTCCTATGAATTTTTCAAAAAATTGATAGAAAACGTGAAGGAGCAACTGGCTGCACACCTTTCACGTCGCTGTCATGATGGGCACTGAGAGGTTTGGCTTCAGCTTGCAGTTTTAGTAGTCACACCCCGTAATTAGTGCCTTAGGAATTACTTAAGGCCCGCCTCCCTTTGAGGAGCTGTCACAAAGTCATTTTTCGACGTACAGGGACAATACTTATACCGTTTGATGCGCAAGAAAACAACCTTTAAGATGAAATAAGAAACAGAAAAACTCAAAATTTTCAAATTTTAGCTAGGGCAGTCCCCTTAAGTTCATTAGTTTGAGAGATATTCCTTGATCATTGAATTTGAAAGTTGGCCGTGAGACCGGCCTCGAGTCCGGCCGTTAATTTGTCCGAGACGTAAACCCGGCCAGGAGAGCTAGGTTAAAAAAAAAACAGAAAAAACCATCGCTGGGGCCTGGGAGTCATGTGCTGCACGTGTTGTGTACAAATCGTCTAACTCTAACAAACGTTCGAACTTCTGACATTGACTTTTGACACCCGCCCCCCATATCGCCCCCCTACTGACCTCTTCTTCCTTATCGCCCCCCAAAATCTTTCCACCGCCCCTAGGGGGGCGATATCGCCCACTTTGGAAACCACTGGTTTAATGTAATTGTAGCCTAGCCCATAGTGGCAAAGCAGAGAGTTTTTTAGACTCTTCCTCAAGTTCATTTTTGAGTCCTATAAGTAGAACAGTAAAGTATCTTGGATACCAGAATCATCATACATAAGAAATCTGTTAAAACCTTGAGTAAATGAGGAAATTAAAAATGAACTGATTCTAAAAAACCACTGGTTTGCCACTATGGCCTAGCCTAAAATCTAAATGGGATGAACAGCCATTATTCACCCACAATGTTTTAAAATCACCCTTGAAAATTTTTTTGCCAATAATTTATAGAAACTCCTGCCAATATATTACGGAACAACATGTTCAAATATTTTATATCACGTTTCAAATATTTTGTTTACGTTCTGTAACTGTGCATCATCGGCCGCGCCCATTCACAGAGCGCGTGAATGAACTTATGAAGCAACAGGTTAGGTTCAAATTCATTCGGTAGCGTCTCAACTACTTTTTATGGCTAGAGCTGATGAATGCATTCGCACAATTTAAACATTTCAGTTAATAATTGAATTTTAGTTCAATCAAAATTGCAGGGATGATTTATTTTAAATTACAATATATAAGATTTGCATTGTAAATTGTTAGCGCTAACGAGTTTTTCGCAAATAGAAGATAATTCTGAATGTTTCATAATTACTGGAACTACAACTGAAGAGAAAGAAATATAGTGAATTTTACTCATCAAACTTTAAGTACTATTCATTAGAAAGAAGTGGCATAACATTGAAATAGCTGTTAGCAAATCGGCAAATGTCTTATAATATAACGGTTTCAGCGTTTAAATTTATATTTAAAATTTCATTCGAATCTGTTCAGTATTTTGGAAGAAATCTCGTGTACACTGTAAATTTCGGCACGTTTCGTCATATAACTCACGAATGAAGGCGAAATTCAAAAAATTGTCACGAGCTTGACATCACCGTCAGGCCATAATGAATACGTGTACCAAGTTTCATCGAGCTACATTCAGTACTTTGGGAGATATTCGATGTACACTGAATCTGGAGCGCGGCCGCGAGACCGGCCGTGAGACAGGCCGCGTTTTTGTCCGAGACGTCGTTTATTTGGCCGTAGGCCTGGTGCCGATTACTAACCGTGCAGAACATCCACAGCATGTTGCGGGCTTGAACTCGCAACTCACTGCTCCATTTTTTTTTTTTTGCTTTACCGCCCGCTCTCTTTGCCGATTCTGACTAGAAACTGGAGCACAGAGCTGGGATCGAACCCGCACCTCTCTGTTCCAATCTTGGTACTCCTTGGAACCTTAACAACTGGACCGCCCTGCCCTCTTCTTCTGTATGCATTTCCCGTGTGCCCCAGTAATATAATACCTCCACCGTCATCTCGATCGCGAAGACTTCAATTTTACCTCTCGGATACTTTTCCAGCCGTTCTCCAATATTTGCAATGAAGTTATATATATTTCTAAACTATTGAACAGATTTGAACAGAACTTTGAATATACATTCCCAATCACCTATCAGTGCTGTAAAGCGCGTGCAAAAATATTCAATTAAGGTTCAATTTGCGAGTTATACGCCTATACGGAGGAACGACTTGTTAATCTGCGGCCGATTGTAAAATTTGCAGTGAATATGAAATATCTCCCTAACTGATGAATGCAGCTCGATGAAACTTTCACCTGCATTTCAAACTTTCACAAAAAAAAAACGACTTTCAATGGCCGGGATTTTATATCGGCTAACTGCCACGCGTCACATATTCATGAGTGTATATAAGAGGAGAGGAAAGGAGATTGAGGTAGGAGCAACATTGGTACAGATGGTAAAGAGGTGGGAAAGTTCGTGTTAAGAGTAGGATGAAATCAGGGAATAAAAAGGCTTTTTTTCATCACACTCTTCAGGCCTCCATTCTTGCCAACCTCTTCCTCTCCCTCATTCTCCATGCACTCTCCAAATATCGCTTACCACTCTCAGTCATAGCTGCAGTTACCCCTGTTGACAGACCCACTATCATCGCAATCCATTCGTCTCTCGTTCGCTCATACATCACACCATCATCCTTATCAAGTATAGCTCTCATCATTCTCAGTCCCTCCCTCTCATATGCATCACACTCCATCATCAGATGCTCCACGGTTTTCTCTCTCCTGTGAGTCCTGTCACACATAAAACAACTATTCTCTCTTCTCTCATTTCACCTGTATGTCCGTGCATTCACACTCAAAGCATTTGCTCTCACACAGAACATTACCTATGTCCCCACCTTTACTGCCCTCATATATATATTTGTACTTTGACAGCTCTTATCTTGTACAATCTCGCACTGTCCCTTCTGTCATTCATTAATTCCATACTCTTACAGAACATAATTTTACGCTCTTTCTATTTCTTTCTTCCATTCTTTGACATCCCATTTCGGTCCCTATTATACCCTGTACTGTCATCAATCATTCCTCTCGTGGTCTGTTATGCCCAGGATTGGTCTTCCTGTAACTCACACTTGCGTGCTATTGCACGACACTTACGTTCCTATTTGCTCACTCTTAAGTTCCACAGGTACATCTTTCGCGACGAACGTTCATCATCCATTCTTTCCAGTCGTACTTCGTATCTCAAAGCTGCTTTCGTTCTTCACTCTCTAAACGTGCTCAATCCCATATTTCCTCTCAAAGCCTCCACCGCAGTCCATCTGGGGGCTCCAAGTGCAAGTCTAGCTATCCTATTTTGTGCCAGTGTACGAGAAGAGTCAATTTGGAGCTTACGTTGTACTTTTTCATAATATTATTACTTAGGGTCTGCCTTGATAAGGTACCTGATTTAAGTCTTAGCATACGGTATATTTCACTGATAGCCTTGCTTGCATTGCTCGATGGTAGTTTTTTTTTCTTTCCAGCTGAGCTGCCATCCAAGTGGTAAATCTATTTCGTTACATAAATTTCAAGTTATAAATTAAAAATGTCACTAATTTGCTCATAACTTTATAAGTTTTGAGCATCGTGCCTTCAGTAAACATTTGCGTTCGCAAATGGGTGAATGTCCGCGTATAATGAATCATTCACACAATTCTCGTCCTTTGAATTTCCTATTTTTGTTAGGAAAGCCTACATTCCTTTACTTACTAGATCTTTGAGATAATTTAGCCTGGACTGATTTTATTGCTCTCCACATTGAACTTGAACATCATGATTGCATTTTGCTTACACACGATAACCACGGTTCATTAGTATAACAAATAAGAGATTGCCACATCCGAACTTGGTTCAAGATGGCAGTGTTTATGATGTGCTTTATCGAGTAAATTGAATGCAATCAACACGGCCGTCAGTACGCTACACATAATCAGCAGTCAACACATTCTACTTATTAGTATCTGAGGAAATGGACGGGAACGGCTAGCGGGCATAAGAAATTTCGACACTATACAGATTTAACAAGCCAGCGTCTTTTACCATATATGTTGCGGTGGGAATAAGTGACTCGAACTCGATCCTCGACGGTTCGGACGCATCAAAATAGCTTTCAATTAGCAGGTCTTACAGGTTAATGAAATGTGCTTGATTATCTACATGTATGTACAGAATATTATTACAAAAAACGAAACTGAAATTTGTACACATGAACAATAAATGACAAAGTGTAACACATGATTCTGCAAAATGAGGAAATTAATTTAAATCGATACCTACATCTAAATCATTTTAAAACCATAAATTGCCAATATACAGCTACATTCTATAATTTTTTGATTAATGGATTTAGTATATACACATCATCTTACATCGAATTCCTCAGCCTTCACTGAAACTCTTGCAACCAAGCAATGCGTGAAACTATCAACCATGGTTGCTCTTTAATCACAACCACAATCGTCTCAGTTTTTACGGGAGGCAAAAACATCACCAGCGCCAACAAAATCAACGTTGAGTCCGCGAGTGATCTCCCTTAATAACTCTTGGGTGTCGATTTTTTTATCCTTACTCTTGCTCTTGGATTTACTCTTCTTGTGTTTTTTCGTCCGTGTATCTTCACATTTTAAGCTAGAACTGGAATATTCTCGCTTATCTTTAGTCTTACTTTTCTTCTTTTGTTTTTTCTTTGGCCTTTCTTCTTCAGAATCTGAAGAACTGCTCTCAGAACTGGAGGAGTCACGTTTCCTTTTCTTGCATTTATCTTTGGACGACTTCTTCTTCTTTCTTTTGGTTGTTATCTCTGAATCACTAGAATCGGAATCTTCATCTGAACTAATCTCAGCAGTTTTCTTTTTCGCTTTATTTTTCTTGCTCAGCATCTTTTTGTCCATTTTTTCAAGTTTCTTAAGTAATTTTTCCTTCTGCTTGGTGGTGAGGCTCGCCAGTAACCTCATCTCCTCGACATCGTCATCCGAGCGCCCTGAAGTGCTAGGTCTATGGTCTTCCTCGTCAGGCAGCAGCTGCTGGTTGGAGGCAGAGGGATCTTGATTACGCCCGTAAATGCCCGTTGCCATGGACGCCAAGGTCTTCAAGTGCAGTCCGTTCTCACGCATGCCTGACTTCAGGGTCTGATGGTCCACTTCTTTCTCCATTTCCTCCTGAAAATATACCGGAAGGTTAACTCATTTTGGCTATCATTCCTATGAATTTCAAATAGAGAAGCAGCCTAGTGAGTTAGGCCCTTATTATTCAGTGAGGCTTGCAGCCTCACAGAAAAATGTTCATGAAAGAAAATAAGTGAGAAGATAAATATGAATATTTAATAAATCAATTAATGGTGAATAAATTAATGTATAATATTTACCTTGGAAGGCTCAATCACTTTTCCATAAAGAGGGCACTCCTTATCAGTGTTGATGTGTCCCCAGGTGCGGCATTTGATGCACCGTACATTGCGGACTGCAATACCAAAAGGCTGATCTCTGATGCTTGAATCGTTCTTGCAGTAGCTGAAAATATTAGTTGTTGCTTTAATCAAAAGATAAAATATTTAGGATAACAATATATTTATGTCAAAGACGCATATTACTTAAAAACATTGATAAAGGCAGTTAAAAACAAAGGACCGCAGTGGGCAAATGAGTGGTTGTTTAACTCTAGAGCAATTAATAGCAGAAAATAGCTTTACTTCAGATTGTAACATTTATCTGATGGATTTAAATAAATCGGTAAAATTATAACTTTATACTGAAAATCAAAGTGCCCATAATATGGAGTGCAATCATCACATATAACTACTTCAAGATACAGTCTGTATGAGAATGCATTATTAACAAACTAAAACAATAAATTTTTGATAGTAATGGGCATCTCTATTCAATTACAAGAAATCTGAACTGAGACTGAGATGAAACACACAACTTATGTCATAATGAATTTTGAGAGTTGTGAAAAACCAAATATTCTTTTCAATGCAATCAACCACTAGGCCGAAAGTTACCTTTCACGAGGGGCATTGAATTTTCTTTGCCATTCAAACTTGTACTCAGGTTCGCCTTCTTCTTTCTCTTGCCTCATCTTGACTCCAGCAGGAGGGTCGTACATAAAGCCCAAAGAAAGCTTATCTCTGTCAGCCTGACTCCGAGAAACCAGAGCTTTGTTGGTATAGACATCTTGCTCCTTCTCATACTGTATACGCAGCTCTTCTTGCTTCTTACGGTTAGCCTCAGCTTTTTGTTCAGCTATCCAAACCTGCAATATAAAATGTTAGGGTGTTAGTGAGGTGACATTTAATTTCATCATGTAAACAAAAACAATCATTAAAATTATCACCTCTATATAACAGAAGCACAGAATAAAGCAACAGCATTCAAGTTGTTTTTAATTTTATCCACAATATTAATGTGGTCAATTCCTTGTATGGCACAGGAAACAACAATTGAAACAGTATAGAATAATACCATGTCAGTGAGGTTTAAGAAACTAGAATCAATATTTTGCTACAAAATTAGGTCAAATAATTTGATATTGAGCCTGTAGAACTAGGCCAAGCAAAAGCTTTTGGAGTTGATACTGAACAATCTATAAGCAGCCAATGTTAACTTCCTAACAAAACTAAGTAATCTCCTCATCTTTTGATGCTTGATGGCATAATTTTTACAGAAGTTGGGGTCTCAAACATGAATTATGTTTCACTCAAGACTTTCTGGCTGAGAAAATATTTTAACAATTGAAGAGATTATGCTGAAATAGCAAGAAGAAATGTGATTGTTATGAGAAATGTTTTAATATACTTATGAAGAAGTGTAAACCAAAATTATTGCAAGAAAACATAAGCTATGATTCTGGGTGACGTAAAGAATCCAGTATTGTTGCGAGAGTCAGAATGAATATGTATAAAGTGGGAAAAAAATTATGGAAAGGTGTGGCAGTAACAGGCTTTAGCATGGAATGGGTGTGATTGCATGAAATGATGGTGAACAAGATAGACTTGATGTGGTTGAGAACCAAGGAATAATGCAAATATATAGGAGCAGAAATAGATTTCAATCATTTTTCTGTATTGCAGTATGCTCTGTATTTTAGGGAAAGCTTGCATTTAATTACACATGATATTTACAGATAAGAGAAGAAGTGGTGAATTCAGGAGAAATAAAGGCACCGCTGGTTTGAAACAATTACACCATTAATGCATTATATGTGAGGTTTGTTGCATATAAACAATCCAATGCACATAGACTAAAGGTTATCTGCTTATCTCATTATTAATGACTTGTGTTTCATTGTTAAGTTACCAAAAGTCCTGAACAACTGAAGAAACCTATCAACTGACGACTGGATAAAACTTTCGGCTACCAAGTGACATGTGGATGTTCGTCAACCAGATTGACCTGGAGATAATTTTATGACTCTTGTGCCACACTATGAGACCTGGCTGACATGACCTCAACTATGTGATCTTCAAGGAGGAAACATTTTGATTTGACTGGTTATTACGTTCTGCATGTTACTATTTTGGCGGGAGGCAGGACTCCAGAGCACTGAAGTATATATACTGCGGATTGCAGAAATTGAAACTTTTATGAAATGACATGTTTGCAAAGTGCAAAACGCAATTTTTCAATCAAACAAAAATTTATGACATTAGAGCCACATGATTTCATAACTACTGAAATTATTTGATATTAGAGCTGCAATATTTCAGAAAAAATAGGACATTTCCAGCTCTGGTCCAATGCCCCAATCCAGAATTCACAGATGACTTCTGCCCAGTTTGGATCCGACAGGCAACTGTGCAGAGTGGATGAATATTGCAAGATCTTTGGCGATGCTTCAGTAGCAAAATTTATGCCTTCAGAAGATCTTGCCGACACATTTAGATTGAAATTCTTGCATTTAATATATTTGTCAGTCTTCAGCCAATTATTTGAAAAAAAGTAAGGTTTCCACTTTCCGGTATGTTAGATGGATCAGGATGCAGTGAAGCTTGTCCGGAAATCAGTTGCAATGAGTTCCCGCCAAAAAAATGTAAACATCAGGTTTACAATTACATAGTTGCGGTCACATTAGAGCGGTCAGACTGCATTATCACATGTTCAGTTTACACTTGCTGTACAATCAGACTGTTTTAAGGGGAAAATTAGTTATTTGGGCCTTTTGGGGTAACACACCATACCCAGGATGGCGCCGTTTTCCGCGGATTACTCCGGCGTAAACAAGGCTCCAAGCCCTTCTACTGGCGTACAACGCAGCGTACAAAGAGCTAAAGTAATGTTATTGGCGCACACGCCCGGCGTACGTCCGCATCTGGCTTGTCCCGACATACTGTACATCCGCATCTGGCTTGTCTTGGCGTACGTCAACATCTGGGTGATCTGGCTTGTCCCGACGTCTAACCTCATCTGGTTTTGAGCATTTTATTGCATACTAATGCGTTTTAAGGCGATTTAGGGCCTTCTAATGCGATCTAGTGCGTTCTATTACGATCTAGTGCTCGATTTTTTAATCAAACAAAAATTTATGACATTCGAGCCGCGAGATTTCATACATACTGAAATTATATGATATTAGAGCCGCGATATTTCAGACAAAAATAGGACTTTTCCAGACTAGCTACAGACTGGGTGCCAGTGTCAATCATGCAGCATTGGCGAGGGTTACACTTTCGATTTTAGCAAGCATATTGGCAACTTTCTTCCCTGGGGTACTGGCGTACATCCCAAACCGAACCTCCGACGTACACGCTGCAGTGCTGCACCTTCCTGACCATGGGTAACACGTGCATGCAACCTTGTAAATAAGTTCATGGCTTGTAAATAGTTTTTCATTACATTAAAAATTACCTGGTGACACATCTTAAAATTACCCGGCAACGCTTAGGGCTTAAAAACCCATATATTGGCAACGCTGCATGATGCCTGCCCCTGCACAAGCATTGAAAACATCTGCCTTTAGGGCCGCAACTAGAGGTTTCTCGCCATTTCTGAAACCGCGAGATTTCCGTCAGATGAATTACCTCCTATCCAAATGTTAACAAAAGTGCAATATCGAGCCGCGAGATTCCAAATGTATTAAAAATTCGTCATGTTGAAGCCGCGAGATTTCAGAAACAAATAGAAAAATTCCAATCCTGCCCCTGCATCCACCCTCTGCACCCTGGCCAACAGGCATTTTGCAGTCCTCAAAATTGCAGGAAAGCTCTAGTCATGGTTTGAATTTTGACTTGAGAGATAGCTAGATGTTAATGTTATCCACATTCTACACTAGGCCTCATAACTCAATCTAATTAACTTTGACTCATGAATCATGAGTTGCTTTTGGTTCTGCTCTAGAATCCAGAATGACCATAGCCAACAATTTCAAATTTTCAAGTTACAGATCATCATTTACATAAACATGAGAACTTAAGAAGAAATGGAATACTGAACTTAGTTTGCAAGTCATACATCAATATAAAAAATGCAAAGGTAGCCTAGGTACTTACTCTTTTCAAGTTATCTCGTGATGCCGGATGGAAAAACTTTTTGCACATGAAATTGTTGTATCCTTTCCCCATGTTGCAATAATTGCGCGGTCACCTAGTATGATTTAGCAGTTGTAGACAATGATTAGTCAACTGACGCAAAATAAAACGAAATAAATTGGTTATTTACTGCTGGCTGCTGCTCCAGGAAGTTCACTTACGTTTCAATGTAATTGCGATAACAATAATCCAATTGAGCCAATAAGCCGGAACTACAATGTCGGACCAAATCTAGAAATCACAGAAAATGCGGAAATTAAAAACAGTTGACGATACGTTAGAATTCCATGCTCCAAAATCATAAGCCTGAATGTTTTTATTGTAATTATCGAATTAAATTTTTGTCCCGACATACATGATACATATTTCCTGGAGGAAAGTGAGATGAAAAATTTCATTAAAATAGTTGAAAAGCATGCTGAAAGCCAATCGACCTCAGACCGTATTTAAATTACTTGAGCGCAGTATATAACAAGAGCTTATTTGATATTCATGGACATACAGCATACAATTTTTGCATGTCTGGGTTCTTATTAGACTTTAATGAGGTTTACCACATAGATTTAGCAGTAATTGACGGAATGTAAAGTAAATACCATTTCTTTAATTTTTTAACATATTTACCACTCATAAAATGCGATTAGAACAAGATTTACTGCTCAAAAAGGTGATTCCTAGTGCAAGGTAATGACTCCCATTGGCAGGCTAACAAGGGCCTATCCCCCAGAGGGGCCCTTGTTGTGACTGTAGTGGAAATTGTATATAATGAAGCGACACACGGTTGCTGATTGAATCGATTGATCGAAAGCTACGACGGCACGGAAAATAACGAAAAGTAGAACAATTTGTTCATGGCCTTAGCCATTGGAGACAATAAGAAAAATCCCTTCTGATCCTGTATCCCATTCATTCTTTCTCCTCGCCTCCTTTCTAGTTTTTGTTTCAGATATCCTGATTGTTCCAAACCTCTGCCCTACCGCACACAGAGCACATTTCTACTCTTGTTTTATTCCGCTGGTATGATACGTCCATTCATGGTTGATACCCATTCAACCATGCGTCCATTCATACTTAGCGCACTTCAAATTCAGATTCTGAGGTGTCAAGTTTCACTTTTCGTAGCAATGACAGGCAAAGAATTAGATAGTAATATATCGTAAAGCCGTTTGGTATTTAGAAAAGGATCTATAAAACACTGAACATGGCAAAAGTTTCCAAAAAGTACGATTCCACTGTTATGAGAAACAAAAGACTGACTTTTAGTCACCAAAAGCGTCTTCGGAGCCTCACATTCGTAAATTCATATTCTATTGAGAACCTATGTTTAACGAGGACTCTGTCGAAGATATCACTATCGGTAGTAAAGCTAGTGTTATAGTAGTAGTATCAATTAGAACCACCAAATGAAACCAAGTGGAAATTATGGCCCACTATATCTTACAAGCAATATTTTGAGGCATATTGCATCGACTTTCACATCAAGTTTCAAACGACATAAATTTTCGTTGTCATCGAGATCCTCCAGAAGATTCCTCTAATTTTAGATCATGTATGGGAACATGCCCCACTGCCCGCGGTCAAAGAGTTGGTTATGCTTGTCCTAGAGTCATTGCCCGCGTGTAATTAATATTTATTTTTTCTCACATTAGGCAAAATGTTGTTTGGATGAATTTTAAAATGAGCTGAAATTAAATTTTTTAAGCCAGACCTCGTTCAGTGACCCCCCAATTTTTTATTCAACTGTAAAGTCTCACCCCTTTCGAAAGTTTCCTTTTGACAAATTATTATTGTTTGCCAAAAATAAATCCTTTCAAATGATATTTAGGAATGCTTCAAGAGCATCAAAGTTTTAGTATTTACTTGATGAAACGCTACTGGATATTACCACACATATGAGGCGAATGCGCGCTAAAATATCTCAAATAAAAAAACAATATTAGGCTACAAAAACACCCAACGAAGACCTACGCTAAAATTCTCAAAAATTAATAATAGACATAACATGATAGATCGCCTAAATGAAAACATAATGAGTTTCAGCAAATGAGAAAATAAAAGCCAAAAGATTTCAAAAGAAGAGGGAGCAATAGTACCACAAGGACCTTGTCTGCAGCTCCGACGCTAACTCCTCGTACAGGCGGGGCTTGCACTCCCGGGGCAGTTGTTGTGGCACTCTACAACTTCTAAGTTGTTGTGGCACTCTACAACTTCTCAGTTGTAGAGCACACAGTGTAAATTAAGGGCCGTCTCATTAGCCCAGCTTCGTGTAAATAATATTTCGGATTAATTGTTGAGTACAAAAGGCCACGCTAGACAAAATGGTGTTAAGTGTACAGAATAATAGTTTTAAGCGCAAGAGTGGATAGAAAAAAAATAGTGTTAAGGGATTTAGTGCAAAGTCAACATGGAGTTAAGAGTTACATTGTACAGACTGCCGGGTCGACAGAAAGCTCCTGCCTAGTCCTTGTACTTAAGGGACTTGGTACAAAGTCAACATGGAGTTAAGAGTCAAAGTGTACAGACTGCCGGGTCGACAGAAAGCTCCTGCCTAGTCCTTGTACTTAAGGGACTTAGTGCAAGGTCAACATGGAGTTAGGAGTCATAGTGTACAGACTGCCGGGTCAACAGAAAGCTCCTGCCTAGTCCTTGTACTCGGCGTTTAGGGCTCTGCCCACCACCAGCCGCCGTATCTCGCTGGTGCCGGCGCCGATCTCAAAAAGCTTTGCGTCCCGCAGCAGTCGGCCCGTTGGGTAATCATTTACGTAGCCGTTGCCTCCTGAAATGGCAAGTGTTGAAGCATCAAGTTGCTCTACCGCTACATGAATAAAACATAATCAGTTTTATCCATCATAATCATAATCAGTTTTATCCATATATACATAATCATTTACGTAACCGTTGCCTCCTGAAATGGCAAGAGTTGAATCACAAGTTGCTCTACCGCTACTGATGGATAAAACATACTCAGTTTTATCCATCATAATCATAATCAGTTTTATCCATATATACATAATCATTTACGTAACCGTTGCCTCCTGAAATGCTATACTAAATGCCGCCTGAAATGCTATCAATTTGCTATACCGCTACTGATGGACAAAACATACTCAGTAGGAAGTAGCTCATAGTTCAGCGGCTTCAGGACTTGGATGTCAGGTTCTTAAATAAAGACGTTTATACTTGGTTCGTGACTTATTACAAACACAGCTATGTGAACAAAAAGAGTTCAAAAACGTCTAAATTGTCTATTACGTTTCTTGACTATAAAAGCCGTCTTACACAAGAAATAAGGTTGACACTTGGGTAGGAGCTTGAACTCAGTGAGAACCGATACATTATTTGCTTTAATCACGAATTTACTCAATTCAGTCGTAAACACTGTTACAGCATTCAATGAGAGACAGAATTTTTTAGTGATCCACTAAAAAATCCACTTAATTTTTTAGTGATCCATTTAATTTAGTGATCCATTTAATTTAGTGATCCACTAAAACATTAGTCATAACTCATGATAAGAGTCCGCAAAAAAGAAAAAGTTACCAACCTAAGCACTGGATGGCTTGTAGCGCGACCTGCGTGGTGCACTCGGCGACGAAGAGCACGACACTCGCGCAGTCTTTGCTGCTGACGCCGCTGTCGTCCGCGGCCCGGGCGGCCGTGTACACATAAGACCGACACGCGTTCAGCTTCGTGTACATGTCCGCTATCTTGCCCTGCAAGTCAACAAAAATTGTTTCTACAAAATTATTTCACCAGAATTATTTCAACAAAATTATTTAAATAGAATTGTTTCTACAAAAATTTTTCAGCAAAATTGTTCTTACGAAACAGTTTCACGAAAATTGTTTCAACAAAACTTATTCAACTTAAATAATACGCGCAACGTTTGAGTTATTAGCACCAAGTTAATACTGTACCAAAACCAATATTCTCGAATTTGTGTTTTAAGTTAATTGCGCAAAAAAAATTTTTATCTGAACATTACAAAAGCTGCCCGATGGCAATTTAAGTCGAAAATATGCAACAAAAATTCTTCGAGATGCTTATAAAAAACTTAGTCTTTGGGCAACAAAATTTACGTTATTAGAGAAACGAGTAAATTGTTAGCCGTTATTTTAACAATTTAGCCCGTTAATATACAGGGAATGTTAGCCGTTATGTTAACAATCTAGCCCGTGAATATACCGGGAATGTTAGCCGTTGTATTAACAAACCAGCCCGTTAATATACCGGGAATGTTAACCGTTATGTTAACAATCTAGCTCGTTAATATACCGGGAATGTTAACCGTTATGTCAACAATCTAGCCCGTTAATATACCGAGAATGTTAGCCGCTATGTTAACAAACCAGCCCGTTAATATACCGGGAATGTTAGCCGTTGTATTAACAAGCTATCCCGTTAATATACCGGGAATGTTAGCCATTATGTCAACAATCTAGCCCGTTAATATATCGGGAACGGTGGCTACAAGTTCAGCCTACAGGAAAACTAAGTCTAATGTCAATATAATATAACTCAAATAAGTGACCGACTTTATCTGCACCTGCATGAGCTGGAACTCCCCCACAGGTCTGCCGAACTGCTTCCTCGAGTGCACGTAGTCAAACGCCACGTCACAAGCTGCCTGCATAATCCTTCACAGGAACGCACCAGAAATTATTCCAACAATTATTTACTGATTTTCTTAATACTGCTAATTGTTCATTACAGACAAGCTTAGGAAGCATGAATAAAGAACATGTCATTACATTCACTTAATGATAGACAAGCTCTAGAATAAATGTGCTCCTAATTCATAAGGAGCACTTCATAATAGCATTAATCTCTAACACGCCATCACCATCACTCAATGATAACTTTAATCTCTAACACGCCATCACTATCATTCAATGATGACATTAATCCATAACACGCCATCACCATCACTCGATGATAACATTAATCTCTAACACGCCATCACTATCATTCAATGATGACATTAATCCCTACCATGCTATCACTATCACTCGATGATAACATTAATCCCTAACACGCTATCACTATCACTCGATGATAACATTAATCCCTAACATGCTATCACTATCACTCGATGATAACATTAATCCCCAACACGCTATCACTTTCACTCAATGATAACATTAATCCCTAACACGCTATCACTATCACTAAATGATGACATTAATCCCTAACGCGCTATCACTATCACTAAATGATGACATTAATCCCTAACACGCTATCACTATCACTCAATGATAACATTAATCCCTAACACGCTATCACTATCACTCGATGATAGCATTAATCCCCAACACGCTATCACTATCACTCAATGATAACATTAATCCCAACACGCTATCACTTTCATTTGATGATGACATTAATCCCCAACACGCTATCACTATCACTCGATGATAACATTAATACCCAACACGCTATCATTATCACCCCAAAGCTCCTGCCGCGATCATCAGCCTCTCCAGGTCGAGGCCAGAGAAGAGCACCGCAGCGCCTCTGTTGACGCCGCCCACCACGTTCTCTGCTGCAGACGAGACATCACTTGTGACACATCACACATCATTATGTTACATATGTAATAATCATGTCAAAACATCATATTATTTTAGAGCATACATTGCTCTAAAGTTTATTTGATGCTAAGTTTATATTGAAAGTGTTTCTGATCCCTGCAGGCCGCACCAGACACTCTGCAGTCATTGAAGACGAGCTCGCTGGTGCCAGAGCCCCGCATGCCGAGCTTGTCGAGCTTGTGGCCGCTGCTGAAGCCTGGCGAGTTCCTCTCTACTATGAAGGCGCTCAGGCCCTGCTTGTGCGCCTGTTCAGTCTTGGCATAAACCTGCGCAGTTGTAAGTAATAACTTTAATGTTAATGATACATGCTGAACAATTGTTTTTCCAGAAGATGATTTTGACCAGTAAAAAAATCAAAGAATAATTATGTGATATCACACCAAGTGATCGAAAGATTTCGGTCAAGCTCCTTTTGTTTTCATGATCATTGAACTACAAAATAGTTACACTCATTGTTACGTGACATACAGCCAAAACTCAAGTCAGAGTAATCCAGAAGCATTTCAGAACATAAAGTAGAATTTGGAGTGCCACAAGCCTTGGTATCTTGCCTTCAAATTGCATCTAAGATTAACGTCATTAGTTTCTCCTGCTTACATTTCCATTTTGATGTAACGAGAAGTGCCTAGCAAGTGAAACACATGGAAGATCCAAACTAAAAAACAATCTGCACATTAATAAGTTTGAATCTTTATATAATATTAATGGACAGTGTTAGATTTAACAAGAGCCTGATGCTCTCACTGGAGCTGTGTAGCAGGTGTGCACTCACTGCATGACAGCCTTTCAGCAGTTCCACATTCTATCTCAGAGATCAGCAGCAAGCTTTTTCCACATGTAAAACTCTAACAATAACCATTAGCATTTTGAAATCAATGTGGAAAGTTTCATAATACAGGAAACCACTGAATGAAAAGTTCAGTACCATTACAAAAACAAGAAAGTATAACTCAGTACTCACTGCAGTGAGTGACAGAGAGAGCATTTTCTCGTCGAGGAAAACGTGAAGTCACAGACGGACGGACGGACGGACAGACAGACGGACGGACATGGCGAGCACAATAGTGAATTTTTTTTTCATTAATGAGAAAATGCGCTAAAAAGAAATCCCCCTCTCAAACTCACTAGCAGGACGTCGGCATGTGGTCCATTGGTTATCCAGTACTTGGTGCCGTTTAGGACGTAGGAGTTACCGTCCAGCACGGCGCTGAGTTTCATTGATAAGGCATCACTGCCAGAGCCTGCCTCTGACATGGCCATGGCCCCCACATGCTCACCACTGCACAGCTGACCATAATGTTAACAAATATATGCGGGAATATGAAGTGGCAAAGCACAATGTTAACAAATATATGTGGGAATATGAAGTGGCAAAGCCTGGGCATTGAGAAAGCAGAACGATATTCTTGCCAAGGCAATGAGCTAAAGTACTTTTGTAGTGGCATGAATTTGGAAAAATTTAAATAATGCCTGTGGGGGGAAGAACAAAATTCAAGTACTTTGTGATGTTAGTGAGAAGTTGTGCTATATTGAAATGAGTCAGAAGAAAGTGTGCTGTGTAAAAATGAGTTCTGCTGTGTTAAAAAGATAGATAAAAACTTAACACAGTTGCAATCAATCAATCAATAACAAATAAATGTAACATTTATTTCCAAATTTGTTGTTATTGGCATGTTTATGTCAGACAAACCAGTAGCTCCAAGTTCATTGAGTGCATCCACAATAATAGAAGAAATTAGTGAGGGGAAATATCACTAAAAGAAGAATGAATTGAAAACTATTTACCTTTAATTTACCTTGGGCAGGTACCGCCTTTTCTGGTCTTCAGACGCACTTCTGTTGATTTGATTCACACACAAGTTGGCATGAGCACCATACGAGAGGCCCACACTTCCTGTAAATTCCAAATGTTTCATAAGATACAAATGAAATATATTTTTCAACCTCATTTCAAGCCTCTTCCACTCCAATACTTTGGAGCTGTAGAAAAAATTCACATACAAATGTGGAATCAATGGTAAATGGCTGGAAAATATTTGAAGGCAAACTTTTCAAAATTGCCCTTAATTTTAACACTGAATTCTGAAAATTTTTACATTCAAGGAGCTTTAACAGTTGATGCACAATGTCCATGACTGGCGGAAGTATAGTTATGTTATGAACGAGTGAATATCTCACTCACAGAACTCAAAGCATAAAAGTTCTAACCAGAAAATAAAATAGTGACCAACACTAACCTGAGGCCCGGCCAATTTCTTCACAAATAATAGCATGTTCAAAATAGCCCATCCCAGAACCACCAAAGTCAGCATCAGCCGTAGCCCCTAGCAGTCCTAGAGAGCCCATCTTCAACCATAACTCCTGAATTTAAAGGTGAGATATTAGAAACAAAAAGGTAGACATTCTAGCTACAACTGCTGATATTTTTGAAATTGATCCAATTACAAAATTGAATTTTTATTACATTGTAACATTTTCAGTCATATTATCATCAGCTTCTCTATAAGATTATAATCATCATCAGTTCCTTCTTCCATCAAATTACACATATAAATAATTAAATTATGTCTCAGAATATGGATCAGATTGAGAAAAAATTTCAAGTTTTTAGCTGCACAAGCTAATGGATTGACCTTCACTAAGTTGTCTGGAGCTAGTTTTAATACTTATTTCCAGACAAGTTAATAAGTATTGCATTAAGGCAGTTCAATTATGTTATGCAGTAAGATCAATTACAATGACAATAACTCACTCTCATCTCTGGAAAATCATCAGTTTTGTCAATTTGAGCTGCTCTTGGAGCTATTTCTTTCTGAGCAAAATCAAACACCGTTTTCCGTAACTGAAAAGAGAGATAAATTAAAAATTAATTCAATCCATCAATTCAATTTTTAATCGAAATGACAAAAATAAACAGTACAATGGGTATCAGTGATTATTAGAAATTGATATGTTTTACAGTTGTACACTTACAATGCAAAACAAAAATTATATATACTTGATAACCCTTTACATTACATTTTGCATTTGCCCTACATTAATATAATCCATGGATCTTGCCAAAGACAATATCTGATTGTCATTCCATGGCCAAGGGGCTGTAAGTAGACAGAATAAACAAATAGGAAAAATGTAAACCTTCCAAATATTAGAATAAAAATCATCATGCAGATGACCTAAACCACAAGCTATCACCAGGTAGGTTTAACATTCTAGCAAACTACATTCATACCTGCTGTTGCACTTCTGAAAGTCCATAAAAAGTGTCATTGATGGGGTAGTGTGAAGCAAGTGAAGCCATGCAGCGATATGAAAATCTCCATCTCTGCATTAAAACTACTGGTTTGGATAAATGCATTTCTCTTTAGCAGCCTGAATAAAACAATGAAAAAAATATTATTTGCATGAGGACCACTACAATATACATGAGATGACTACTCCAAGGTTGGCTTTTGCTGTATTCATTAAATTAACAGGGGGTAACAAATTTTTTTGCATCAAATGAAACAAAAACAGTTCATTTTTTAAAATTATAAAGTTGAAGTTTCTACTAAATGTAATTTTAAGCAAAACAAGCATAATAGAGGCTATTGTGCATTGCTGACTTGCATCTATGTTCGAAAATTCTGAGAGCAATTTTTTTTAAAGTTATAAAAATTAGCTAAACAAAAGGAGAGGCATTGAAGTAAGCAATAACAAATGTTACAATTTTAAAAATCAATAGATACATTGGCAAGATAAGTAGGAACAGTAGAAAAAATTCCCCAAAAAATACATTACTGGCATGGATACAAGACTAGACGTTACTTGAGCTGAAATTCAGTCAAGAATGGTGGGAAGCAATATGGAACAACTGTATGAGCAGTTATTGAGCACCATCCCTCATGACAGCAGCCAGGTAACTAAAGATCAGCGTCTTCAGGTCGCCTATTTATGTGACTTGTGAGTTGTGACCAGCCGGTAATTTTTGCCTATCCTAAATGTGAAAGAACTCTCCCACCCCAGCACCCCTAACCCTTTCATGAAGTATGAACTGTCATCAAGCCTTTCAATGCATAAATCAACGTACAGAGATGATTTTGGTACCGTTGGATAGGCCAGAATGTCAGCTTTAAGGTGAGACTAAAAACTGGAAAAGTGAAATTTGCAATTTTTGACCCAGAAATTCAGGCAGTAAAGGCCCTAGAGGGTTAAGTTTAACTGAGTCAACCCCTTATGAAAAGACCTCCGGCACAAAACTCAAAATATAAACAAAATAAAGGCAATAAAATGAAAATAAATGTAAATATTGAAACAGTAATTAGTAAACAAAACTGAAAGAACAACAAAATAAATAAACAAAAATAATAAAATAAAGCGAAGCAGACTGGCAAACCTCTGAGGAAAAAGCCAGTCATGTTTTATAGAGAAATAAACTTGAAAATTATTATTTTAAGCAAGTGCAGAAGCTAATACTTCAAAAATAAATTCACCGGTCTTTAGTTTAGAGAGCTCAAATGATTAATGACAGACGTGCTATCGCCGTGAACGCAACTGACTTTCTGTCAATGGCTGAATGTTGTTGTTAGCTTTGTTTGAGATGTGTAGATGACCAGATCATGACCTCCTGCCGTGAGTCCTGCGGGCGGCGGGCCAACTGTCACATCTGGAGATGGCGTCATGGCAGTGTTAAAGGCTTTCTAGTTTCTTGGGTCTCTTCCTCTGCAGCAGAAGTCTGAGAAGAGTTTCATTGGCTTGCAGGTGGAACAGCAACTACTTCCAAATGGCCTGGATAATGCTCGCTGTTTCCCTGCTTTCAAGGTTGACCCCAACAAATGGTCTCTCTTCACAGCGTTTCCAAACGACCTGTGCTTAAAGGTGCTTGTACACGGGGATAGTGCAGAGGGCTAGTAAATCTGGCTAGTGTTGGTCGCTTGGTGACTATCCAGCTAGTAAGCCTGTACACACGAGGAGAGTATAAGGTGCCGCTGTCTGCTCATTCGCGCCCGCCAGTGAGTCGTTAGAAGCCGTCGAGTGAGGTCTGTGAAGATGGATAGTGTGATCACCTTCAACAACTCGAGTCTGTACGTCTTTTTTATACTCCATATTCTTGCCCTTAAAAATACAGCGTCGGGAACAACTAAACCCTGAGTGTCCCTAACTAATAAGGTCTTCTTTTCGTTTCAAAATACTTGTTTCTCTCTTCATTTTGTTGGAGTAACCATCATGGAAAACATTATACTTTAATTCATATTTTTGGAATATTTCAAAGAATAATTGAATATCGTCTGGATCTTAGAAACATTATCGTTCAAACAAGCCATGATTTACGTGACCCAACATACTTAAGTTCACAGGAGCGGCACAGATGTCACCACAGATGTCAGATGCTCTCACCATGGCTGCATCAGCGCTACTAGCCACTTCTCCAGCCAAGATATCAACACATCGTTGTCTCTCTCGGCCCTCGGGCACTTGCCGGCGCATGCCTCTGAAGCGGCTGAACCCCTATACACGAGGCTAGTAGCGTGGACAGTTCAAGCGCCGGATGAACTAGCGGCTAGTACTATCTCTGTGTACAGGCACCTTAACGGCTGATGGGCTGAATGTACTCTCCTGTCTCCTCCCCGGCTCCCGGCCTACGTCAGGAGTCAGGACTACCACCGAGCCTCTGCCGCGTCCGCGTCGTGGGAATAGTCCGACTTGCACCGCGATCCGGTTTTCATGCGAGCGTCACGGGTCGGGCCAAGCGCAGAAGCCCACCCGCAGTACCGAGAAATATTGACATTTCTCAGCTGGGTATAGCCATATAACTCATGAATGAAGACAAAATCGAAAATTTTTACACGAGCTAAACATGACCGTTGGGTATTCATAAATTTGTATTCGAAATTTCATTCAAATCTGTTCAGTATTTTCGAAGAAATTTCGCGCTCACTGCGAATTTATGCACGGTTAGCTGTTTAAATGTAAGCAGTTTTCTCTGTATTGCCATATAACTCACGAACGAAGGCCAATTCGAAAAAATTGTCCCGAGCTAAACATCACCGTTGAGAGGTAAGGTATCAATATACGAAGTTTCGTTCGAATTTGTTTAGTATTTTGGAAGAAATCGTACGCTCACTGTGAATTTCAACACATATCGCTGTTAAAATCACGAATGAGACAAAAGTGAAAAATACTCGCGAACGAAGGCAAAAGTGAAAAAAATATCACGAGCTAAACATCACCGTCGGGTATTGAGAAATTTATATTCAAAATTTAATTCAAATCTGTACAGTACTTTAGAAGAAATGTCACGCTCACTGCAATTTTCACCACGTATATTCAAATAACTCAGGAATGAAGGCGAATTTTGAAAAATTGTCACGAGCTAAACATCACCGTTAGGCTCTAACGGTAGTGATTATGTGTACCAAGTTTCATCGAGCTACGTTCAGTATTTTGCGAGATATTCCACGCTCACTGAATTTGGAATCACGGCCGCGAGACCGGCCGTGAGAGAGGCCGCGTTTTTGTCCGAGACGTGCATCTGCGCCGAAAAGCGTGCTCTAATATTTATTTGAAGGTCTTGGGACTTCGGTCCTTCCCAACCATTTCTGCATATTTTTTCACTGCTGCTCTTTGCTGCTAAGTGACAGCTCAGGGCAGTTCTCGTATCTTTCTTCGCGCATTTTATGCCGAAATTTCCCCTTTTCCAACCTTCCTTCTACGTCCTCAACCTAAGCCGCCCCTTTCCGGCATGCGTGGGTGCAAGTCTTGAGCACGGAGAGGATAGCCGTGCATCACAAACTTGAATATATACGTATAATTATAGCCCATAAGAAGGCAATACATAATACATATACCGACGGTTGGAATCTTCACGTTAAAGAATTTCAGCAATTATACGCAATAGAATTGTTACAATAAAATCTTCAGAATAATAAAATCATTGAGTCTCGATGAAAACTTTTATGCACGTCAGATAAAAAAATTTACCCGTAATATGTTTCCGATTCTCTCTTTCATATGTTGTTCTTTGACGGCATCGTCCTACTTCCAGGTTCCAGCTCCATCTTTTCCCAAAGAGCATGGTCTGCACAACCGCAAGAACTCACATCTTTCAAGCAAATACTGGGCCCACTAGCCCAACATTCCCTTCCTCGTCCACATCAAGTTGCCATCACACGGATTCGACTGGGAGTCTGCCTACTGACGCATGGCCATCACTTCACAAATCACAAGCTCACCCCCATACCAGTGCTCCTCATGTCAATGCCGGCTCACTCTTGACCACCTCTTCATTAACTGCCCTGCACTGTCTCTTCATCGCAACCAACTGAAAGCTGCTTGCATCCGCCTCGGAGTCTCCTTCAGCCTGTCCTCGCTCATAGCCCCTGAATTTCCTGCTGATATAATTATCAAGTACCTCCAACTCCAAGACACCAACATGCTTGACAAAATTTAGTAATCTACGAAGATGCTGAATGGGGACGCCAATACTTCAGTCGGACTGAGTCGGTGACGCGCCTCATCTTAACCAAGTAACCAAGTAAGTAACCATCTTTTCTACACTTAATATACGCGAAATTGGTCTATTTTTTGCCTACAATAATTATTTTGTGTGTGTATATATATAGTCATCTAAGAGTATACCATAGACTTTTAAACACGCGACACTTTCTAAAGGTCTTTGTTGCTTCAGTGTCGACACGGGATTTTTTTGTCTAAAGATTGGGCTGATTGAAGGCTCGAGCATTAATGCTAAAGTGGAGTTGAACGGAAAAAATGTATCATTATAATAAAACTCTTTGCTATTATTCATTCAAAAATTAACTTCAAAGCTGAATGAATTTCATTGTGGATGCCGAGGTTATGAAGTTTCTTTTGATGAGTCTGAGCAGTAATTTTCTTGAATGCTTCCGTAGATCGTCTGGCATGTTGGCGTATAGCATAGGCGTCGAGGGTGGAAAATGAACGTCCAACTTGTAGTTCACTCTCGGCCGCCAAATCAGTAAAAAATTTTAGAGGCATGGGACTTCCGCCTAAATTTTTTTAATTCCATGGGACATGCCTAAATGTAGGCATGTCCCATGAATAGGAAACCACATTGGTCCCCCAATACAACTTTGCACCACAATATAATCTATAAATTATATAAAAAATATTAAATAAATATCGCTCAATTAAGGAACTGTTCTATTTGAAAACCCATTATTCACTAGAATTTGTTTACACAATCTGAGTTCTGTTTTCAAATCACTCTCAGATGTGCAGGCCTTGAATGCTCTTTGTATGAGAGCGCGCACTGTGTTGGTTTTATAGCGCTGCGGGCATTCACTTTTTTTGTTAAGCACTTTCCCGACATCGGTAGATTTTTGGTAAACATTAGTGACAAAGGAATTATCTTCAATTTGCACTAATATATCTAGGAATGGTAATTTGTGATTTTGTCCAATTTCATGGGTAAAAGTCAAGACTGATTCATGTTCCAAAGCTCTTCGCAGTTTAATCAAGTGCTCTTTGTCTCAAATGACAACAAAAATGTCATCTACGTATCTGCAGTAAAGCTCAGGCTTGATCGGTTGACCAATATGACACGAATTTCGTGTCATATTAGTCAACCATTTTAAAATCGGTTCTTTTTTTAGGTACAAAGATACTCTCCCTGTGCATATGCGAGCGTCCCTAGTTTATAAATATAGTTGTGCACGATGTGCATCTGCGTATGTCGGGATGACGTCTCGCAATCTTTATTCTCGGGTCGCAGAACATAGGGGCAGGAGTTGTAGAACTGGTAACTTACTGTCGCGCCCACCTCATTCGGCTGTTCGGGTTCACGCCGAACAGTGCGATGTTCCAGTTTCTGACAGTGACTTCAAAGTTTTAGCTTCCAGTTCCTTTGAAATTGTAAATAGGTAGGTTTTGCAGCTTAGGATTTTCGTTGTATTCTTGACTTGTACTAATCACTGATTTATCTGTGTTCTAGAACTTTCAAACTGACGATGGAGCTGGACTCCGAAACGTTTTCTTTAAAGATACTATGAATTTGTGTGGAGTTTTCTTTGCTATTAAGTTTTTACATCATACTAGTATATGACAACAAAGCCAGAAAAGCTGTAGGCCAATTTAAAAAAAATTGTAACTCAAAAGTGGAAAGTTGAGGAGGTAAAGCAAAATAACTCTACTATTGACCTGGGCAGTCAAATAAATCATCTTAATTAGTCTTTTTATTTTTTTTTCAATGGGGTTTACAAAGAAAAAGATCAGAATCCTAAAAATTATAGAATATTTTGATTTATTTTATTGGTATCAGAAACACAAAAGATTGTGAAGATAAAATTATCATAATATATCCTAAACTAATAAATCAAAATAATTGAATTTTTATTGTATAGTAATTTGATTGCAGAATGCAGATTCTAACCAATATGTAAAAAGATTTCTAATGAAATTGTCAATTGTTTGAGTATATTCATTGATATTACGTACAGTTTCATAATACCCATTTTGAAGTGCATTCATAAAATTGTAATATGATATACAAAGTGAAGCAAGCAGAAAATATATAACTAATTTTGTTACCAGTTGAGTCGCAGTGCAGTTTCAGTGTCTGCAGGAAGGATCTCATTCCATTGCAGGGCTGAGGCTGTTGAAAGTCTTGCCAAAGGATTTAAGAGGAATGGAATTTACCCTGGAGACCATCACCTTCAAGAGACAACTGGATGTGTTCCTGGGCACAATCTCCCACCATCTGACCCTGTTCTGCTATCAGTCACCAATCAAGGGCTAGAAACAAACCACTGCATCAAGCATCAGTTGGCCCAAGTTACACCACTTTTGATGCACAGTCATCAAAGGTGGTGCTCCAGCATGGCTTGGGACTGCTGGACTGTCCAGAACACATACTAAGGATACTAAGTGTGCATGCAGGATGCTAAGGATGCCGGGCCACCAGCTTTGCACAGGAGTTTTGTTTGATCAGTTTTGTGTTGAAACATGTAGTGTTGGGAACTTTCATGCTCAGTTCATTTGTAATTGACTGATCTAGGACCAAATTTTTTGTTCGATATCCTATGGATGGCAATATTGGTGACCCACCCACTCATAGTCATAGGGAAGGTCGTAAAAATTTTTTGTTTGCTGCTATGCAAGTGAGTGAGGCTGAGTGCTGAGTGGCAACTTATATATAGTATGTCATTTACAGTAATTGATCTGATTAACTGTCTCTTCAATTTGTTTACAGACAGTTTGAACTACTGAATTTTTTATAACCTTTATGATTTATAATGATACCCACATCTTCTGAAAATATTTTTCGCATACTTGTCGCAACAGACAATCACCTGGGATATGCTGAGAAGGATGCAGAAAGAGGTAATTGGTGATTTTGAATTACTATAAAGGATGTTTATGGTTCATCAAAATGTACATTTTGATTCAGTTATTTAGTCTTAATGTGTTGCTAAAAATGAGGAACAGATATTTTAGTTGGTTTTGCATTCTATTTCTATTGAAAATAACATTACAAATCAATGTAAATGTCTAAATACTGTAGGAGATTTCATCTTCATTTAACTGCATCATTATACATTGCAAATTAATCTTTATTTAAAATTTAAAATGTTATAAATAAATTAATTCTTTCATCTCCCTTCATTCAACAGGTGGTGATAGTTTCAACACTTTCAGAGAGGTACTGGAGTTGGCTGTGGAGCAGAATGTTGATTTTGTGTTGCTTGGTGGAGATCTGTTCCATGACAACAAGCCCTCCACTCAGTGCCTTGTCAAGTGCATGGAGCTTCTCAAAACTTATTCATTTGGCGACAAGTATGTATATTGCAATTTTACATTGTATTAATAATGAAGAAAATTTCCAATAATAAATTAAATTTCTGAGGTCAGAAAAAAGTTTTATTCTTGAAATGAGTAATTACGCTTTTATGAAATAAGGTGAATGAAATGAGATGATTTTTCTGGGCTCCTTATCAAGAAACTAGTTTTAATTTTTCTAAATCTGACTTGCCTTCTACAGGATGCTTTTCATTTGGGAAAAAATGTATGTAAAAGATGAAATCAAATACAGTCCCTTAGTAGTATCATGCATGCAATCTTGTTTTTCTGCCTGCTTCATCTTGGTGCTAATTTATTCTATGTTTTCAGATCAGTTGAATTTGAGCTTGTGAGTGATCCTGCTGAAAATTTCCCTCATCTAAGAGAGCCTATGGTGAATTTCCACAACCCTAACTTGAATGTTGGCATCCCAGTGTTCTCCATCCATGGAAATCACGACGACCCTGTTGGTATGATGACTTTCTTATTATACTAGTTCTTTTTAATGTTTTTTTCTCCAGAAGTTACATTTTTAAATGATTTATAAGTGGCCATTTCCTTCATCATCCTTTAGGGCTGCATACCCAGTGTATAATGTCTGTCATAGTTAGATTGCACTCTGTTGCATTACTTAAGATTGTGAGTACCAATTAAGACTAACACTTTCTCTTATGTTTATGTTTCTCTGTTTTTGAATGGGAATGCTTTATACTAATTTTTTATCATTTTTAGTGCATTTTCTCATTTATGGAAAAAATTGCATTATTGTGCTTGCCATATCTGTCTGTCTGTCCGTCCGTCTGTCTGTCTGTCCGTCTGTCTGCCTGTCCATCCGTGACTTCACATTTTTGTCTATGAGAAAAGGCACTCTCTGTCACTCACGGCAGTGAGTACTGAGTTATATTTTTTATTTTTCCAGAAGTTACATTTTTAAATGGTATATAAGTGGCCATTTTCTCCACCATCCTTTAGTGCTGCATACCCAGTGTATAATATCTATCATAGGGTAGTTAGATTGCAGTGTATTGCCTTACTGACAATTTTGTGTAATTAAGATTGTAACACTTTCTCTCGTGTATATGTTTCTCTCTGTTTGAATGGGAATGCTAGAAAAACTGTGGTGACAATTATGGCATTCTATGATCTCTTGTTTCTTGCAGTTTGTTTTCTCAATTTGTCTACTTACAAGCATTTTCAAGATGACTTATGACACAGATATTGAGAAAGACTTGAGGGAAGCATTTTGAGGCTGGCTGTTAGTAAAGCGTGCCAAACTGCCAGTTGTTAGCTGCAGCTAAAAACATAATTAATTATGCTGCTAAAAAGATAATTTAATTATGATTAAAGGCAAACAGTTATCTGTTCACAGTGCTGTAATGGTTTTCAAAGTGTAAATATTTCATCCATAGCTTAAAATTCTAAAACTCTGCCCAAGCAAAATTCGCTCTAGCCTTTGGTTTTGGATTTCATCTCCTATGAAAAATTATATTTTTCTTTCTCTCGTTATGCATTTTTTTCAGATGTCATTCTACTTTTTGGGTAGTGTTTGAGTGACACTTAATACTATTATGGTTAGCATAAATACTGCTGCATTAAATGTAATATATTTTCTTATTAAATATTTTTCTTAATTTAATATATTATTCTCATCTTATTCATATTTATTCTGTTTATTATGAATATGTTCAGGAGTAAATATGTTGGCCATCTCCTGGTAAGCAGTTATTATCATCATTTTAACTCGTGCATTTTGCATGGCTTGAATAAAGTTGGAGATATTTTCAAAGATATTGCACTGAAGACAAAGTTTTTTTGTCTTACATTCTCAATATTGTACTACTGAAGACAAAGTTTTTTTGTCTTATATTCTCAATGCAAATAATTGTACAGTTCAATGTCACTTCTGTTTTCTTATATTTCTTTCAGTGCCATGGAGTAGGAAAATTTTCATTATTATACATATAAGATGATATTATGCAAGTTAATGAACAAACAAAATCTAACATTTGGTGTTACTGTGCAGGTTTGGGACACTTTTGTGCCCTGGACATGATATCCACTGCAGGACTTGTTAACTATTTTGGAAGAGCAAACAATCTTCAGGAGATAAACATTTCGCCGCTTCTGTTAGTGAAGGGTAAAGCTAAACTTGCTCTGTACGGGCTGTCGGCCGTCAAGGATGACAGGCTCTTCAGACTCTTCCGAGAAGAAAAGGTGATATTTAAATTTTGTTTGGCCCATGACTTGAAAGTTTTTATTTCCCTTTGGGGTCTCTAACATTTTTGTATCATGGCGATTAAATATGTAGAATACACATTTATTTCGTAGTCGCTTTTCTAAACAGACTGTTTGTGAGATCTAATTAGCTATTCAGTATATTAGAAATAGGTTAAGCATTCTGTATCTATAATGCCTGTAGAAATTTCAGAATGAATTAACATCAAAATACACAGCTTGTTGAAGATCCAAGTCTCTTACCTTATATACTTATTTTATCAATATTTGCCGCTGTGCATTGTTATTGATATACTCCTCAAATCACATTATAAACATGACATTTACCTTCTGCAATAAATTCTAATTTAACTAAAAACTTAAAAGCAAAGAAAACTCCACAAAAATTCATAGTATCTTTAAAGAAAACGTTTCAGAGTCTAGCTCCATCGTCAGTTCGAAAATTCTAGAATTTTTGTGGAGTTTTCTTTGCTTTTAAGTTTTTAGTGAATTTGCGATTAAAGCAAACAAGTGACATTATTACTTATATACGTTCAAAATTCTAATTTATGTTACTAATTCAGGTTCGTATGCTGCGTCCCCGCGAGTTCCCCGACGACTGGTACAACGTGCTGGTGCTGCACCAGAACCATGTCGAGCGTCCGCCTTATAACTACATCAGAGAGGAGTTCCTTGATGGCTTCCTGGACCTGGTCATCTGGGGGCACGAGCACGAGTGTAAAATCCTGCCGCGCGAGTCTGCGCAGCAGTATCATGTGATGCAGCCAGGTCATGCCACAGCCTTTATTCTGCTAAATCCTGGTGAAATGTTGTCGAAAATGGAAATATTTGCTTATCAGACTTCAGCTTTTATTGCATTACTTGATTTACTTCCATGCATTTGGATGAATGCCAAATCCGGGTGAAAGGTTGTCGAAAATGGAAATATTTGCCTATTTTTGGCGTGGATTATTTCGTATTAAACCCTTGCAAAGAATTTTAGGCTCTGAGCTTGAATGAAATTTTACCAACATTTAAAATTTCTGTATGAAGTCTGCTGCTTTGCATATGCTCTTACATTCTTGATTTTTTTGATGTCAAATAAAATATTACTTAGAAAAAGAGTCTTCTAGGATACAAATTTTATATATAACTGAGTTGAACTGTTAACCAAACCCTATTCCCAATTCAGTGCTTCATTTTCATTCTGTTCATATTATGCTAAAACGTTATAAATGATTTCAAGCACAAATGAATTACATTGAATTTTTGGATGAGCATCTGGTATGTACTTTTGATTTACTTCCTTTGATCTACAATCTTGATGTCATGAGCGAGCTAATATGAAGAAAGTTATGCGCATGTACGGAAAAGTTAAAAATAATGAAGCGTAATACATACACGCAGGCAGCTCGGTAGCCACGTCGCTGTGTGAGGGGGAGGCTGTTCAAAAGCACGTGGCGCTCCTAGAAATAAATGAGGAAAACTGCATTAAACCTACAGCCTTGCCACTCAAGACTGTGCGGCCATTCGTTTTTAAGGTAAAAATTGTTATATAATATGCTTCAAAAGAGATGTTTCATCGCACATTAGCACAAAAAAATGTAACTAAGTACTCACTGCAGTGAGTGACAGAGAGCGCATTTTCTCGTCGGCGAAAACGTGAAGTCACGGACAGACAGACTGACATGACGAGCACAATAGGGCATTTTTTCCCACATTAGCACAAAAAAATGTAACTAAGTACTCACTGCTGTGAGTGACAGAGCGCGCATTTTCTCGTCGGCGAAAACGTAAAGTCACGGACAGACAGACTGACATGACGAGCACAATAGGGCATTTTTTCCATAAACGACTAAAATGAGAAAATGCGCAAAAAATACTAGTATGTCAAGATGTACTGCTTTGAATTTTTATTAGGTTGTAAGCCACAACTCAGTTCATGACGAGAACATACGCTGTCTTCATTCTAAAGAGAAAAACTGCAAAGAAAATTAAAAATTATCTTGTATATGTAATGATATAAATAAGATGCCCAGTATGACACTCTACAGACTGTGAGCCTAGCTGACAACGTGCCTATGGATGTGAGAACTACTGATCAAGTGAGAGCTTCGCTGGTGGAAGAATTTCTCGAGAAGACCGTGAAGGAAATGATCACAGAGTCGCTTGAGCAGTTGACCGGTCAGACTTGCTAGAGTGGCTTCTCTTCGTCCTATACATAGAACTAGTTTTTAGAAATTATTTCCTTTGGTAACAAATTTTTTTAACAAGTTTGGCATATAATTCTTCTTTTTTTTAGCTCAATGAGGGCTCAAAAATTTTTATTTTATAAGTTCTTGTCATTTAAGAAGGGATAATTTCTTTTTTTTTATATACATAGATTCATTGATTCTTAAATTTTTGTGAATTAATTTAATATGTTGAGAAAGTGATGAAGAATTTGTTATAAATCGCTGTTCTCTGATGCGTTGATAGCCTCTTGTTCACTCTGATATTCTCGCTCAGGACACCCCCGGCAGCCTAAGAAGCCTCTGATCAGACTCAGGGTGGACTACACAGACGAACGAGACCTCATCAACGTCATCAGATTTGGACACAGGTTGCTTATACTCTCTTTTCTGACCCTTGGTTCCTCATATTATGTCTATTTTATTATGTCTTTGCTATTAGATTATACAGACGAACGAGACCTCATCAACGTCATCAGATTTGGCCACAGGTTGCTTATGCTCTCTTTTCTGTTCCTTGGTTCCTCATATTATGTCTATTTTATTATGTCTTTGCTATTAGATTATACAAACGAACGAGACCTAATCAATGTCATCAGATCTGGGCACAGGTGGCCACAGGACTTGCTTTCTTCCTATTTTGTTTATTTTGTAAAGTGTTTACTGACCAGACTGTGTCCTTTCTCATTAGCTATACAAGCAAATCTCTTCTGGATGCATGACAGTTCAACTCTTGAATTGAGAGTTGATAGCGTGAGCATCCATGCGAACAAGAATCTGGCCATTAAAATAGTCTTTTCGGTGTATTTACTCTATTCTACTGAACACAAACATAATTTTCTCGCTGGGGTAACAAATTCAAAAGAAAAACATAATTTTTTATTGTTTTTCTCAATTTCCTGCTTTGAATATTCTATGCCCATGCCGATAGTTCAGTCCTCCCTTGTTGACCGAGAGAAACATAGTATTTTATATGTCTTTGGATTACCGGATATTAGTTTGCATTCTTTTATACCATGTAAATTTTAAAAACTGTTGAGCGTTCTAGTGAAGCAAGCACTTTAAAGGTCGTTTCAATTTATGTAATGTAGTAATTCAAACCTTTATAACCTAAGTTCATTAATATACTTTAATTCCTCATATACCTATTTGTTCCGTTATCATATTTTCTAATGTTTTTTGTGATACAAAACTTATCCTGAACAATCATTGAGCTCAATGCCAAACATGTAAAAATTTCATATTAGTGTCAAAGTTGAAGGCTTATTCAAATATTTTTGTTCGCCATTTCATAATGCATGTAGTTAAGAGTTTTGTGTTGTTTGTTCATAATAAAAACTAAATTGTCTGTTCTTTAGGTTTGAAGAAGAAGTTGCCAACGCCTACGAGATCCTGTTGTTCCGCAAGGCACGCAAGACCGAGAAAGCCTGCAAGGAAGGCATCGACAACGAAGCCATGGACGCCGTCTTTCTCGAAGACGTGAGTTACCTTTTGATTCTTGCACAGGGGCTGGATTATCAAAACCTCGTAACTTTTTGTACTTACGACAAAAAAGTTCTGTGGTACGTAAATACACCCTAATTTTGGCATTATCAAAACTTTCGTACGCAAGTCATAGCTAAAAGCCTAAATTTTTTTCCCGCGCAAATTTTTCCCGCGCAAATGTTTTTATAATACCACCGCTAGTATTACGTTGTCATAGCAACGCCACTCGTACGTCGATTTTGCGTACTTACGAAGTTATGATAATACGGCCCCTGCAGGGGCCTATACTTTCAAAACTCGCTAAGTGAACGTAAGTACTTACGCTCTATTTTCTTGTCTATGATTGGTGGATTTTGCTTGAAAGGCCGTCAATGATTGGCTGATGAACTTACGATCTCTTAACTTTTTTTGAAAGTATAGGCCCAGATGTCATGTGATGAAACTAGCATTAATGCCCCAGGAAAGAAGCAACTAAGCATCACGTTTGTTAATAAAAAAGGTAACTTCTTTTAGAGGATTCTGAGTTTTGATACATTTTTTGAGGTATCAAAAAAGACCTTTTTTTATACCAATGAGTCTTGGAGGATTACGAGTTTTGAGCTTATACTCGGCATTTAGAGGAAAGGGTTGAAAGGAGATTTATCCTTCAGAAATACTGTTGTATTTGAGACTTAGCGCTGACTGAACGTCTTCAAAGCGACATGTTGCTCCCTGATACAGCGACAGAACAGAAACATATCTTTATCACAATTGTTTCTCAATATTTCCTTCAGAAATTTAAGAAATGTCGACAAGCTTTTATCTTTTTGATTAATTATTGATGTATAGAACAATTCAACTGCATGGTTGTTCAGTTTCTCCCTTTTTTCAGTTGTAACTTTTTTATGCTACAAAATAATAGCCTCTCTAAGGAAATCCCTCAAAATAAATCAGAATCTCTCAACGAATAGTATTGTGCAAAAAATGTATATAATGTTTCACTGGATATTTATTATCTTTCAAAAGAAATCTTGCAAAATATTTATCGTGAAGCAGTAAGAAACAGTAATGAGACTAGAATAGCATCGTCCCTCTGGTGTGAGGTATTTTTAGCGCATTTTCTCATTTATGGAAAAAATGCACTATTGTGCTCGCCATGTCCGTCCGTTGGTCTGTCTGTCTGTCCGTCCGTGACCTCAAGTTTTCGTCGCCGAGAAAAGGCGCTCTCTGTCACTCACTGCAGTGAGTCCTGAGTTATATATTTTTTGCATATTATTATATGTGAGCAGGTGGGCGAGAGCAAAGTTGAAGGCTTGGTGCGGCAGTATTTCCTGGAGCTAACATTATTATATGTGAGCAGGTGGGCGAGAGCAAAGTTGAAGACTTGGTGCGGCAGTATTTCCTGGAGCTGTCAAGCGACAGCTCGCAGCAGCTGCAACTCCTGACTGAACGCGGCCTGTCCGAAGCCTTCTCCAGCTTTGTCGAGAAAGATGACAAAGAAGCCATTGCTGAAATTTTCAAGTAATATACATTATTATTATTTATAGTTAACGAGATGATTGGGGAGATACGTTTTTCATCTTCAGCTTCACCAGTTTTTATTACATGTAAATTCATCTTTCTTATACTTAATTGGTGTGTTTAGAGAACTAAGGTATTTAATACGGAATTTATAGCTAAGACATACTTATCACATAAAACACAGTTCTATCCACGTTTGTCTTCAAGTTCAATCTATTGCTTTTTCTACGCTTGTCACACTTCAGAATCCTCTACTCAAGATTTAGTAGTTTATGGTTGTTGGTGACGTGTAGTGTGTTAATTATTGATGTACGTCAAAGAAATAACGTATTCTTCCATTCCATCTTGTTTTGTTCTATCTTTCTCAAGTCAGTATATGCATTTAAATCCAAATTATTGACTTCATAATTTAATTCAGAATCTTCACTTTGCACCGTAAACTTCAATGGTTGAATTAACTCCCAAACTAGTGTTTGTTGTTTGGCGGCTTCTTTATTGAATTGTTTATTATTTATTGGCTTGTGAATTTTTTTTATGCCGGTCACGTGACAGCTTTCTTTCGGTAGTATTATTTGGTATTTATTATCATCGTATCTTTCAAATTATCTTTAGGTATTTATCATCAAAAATATTGCTATTTCTCATTCAAAAATACTGACAGAAATATTGCAGAGGCGTTTGTTCGTTGTCTTGAGCTCAATTTTCTGTCATATTTTGTCTTATTCTTATAGATTTCAAATCGCTCTTAATTGATATTCTACATATAATTTATGGCTCTTTTGAGACCAAATGTAATTCTTTCGGCCTCTCACCACCCGACAGACAACGAAGGCAATTCTTTCAGACCTCTCTTAATCGAATACTGCTGGAAATTTTTTTGCTTTGATGCCTTTAGATCACTTCAAACTTAGCTAGTTGGTCTTTCAACGCGAACTCTCACGGTTTCTCTTGAGCTTCGTGTATCTTTCTTTCTGTACGTGATTTATCGCATTCCCGTGTGATGGTGACAAATTGTTCTTGGACGGATTTGATTATCATTTTATTATGAATCCACATACGTTTCGCATTCACCAAAACATTCCATAAATGGGCATCAGATAGTTCCAGCAAAACGATTACTTGGTCTGCATTAAATGCCGTGACATGAGTTAAAGTGACTATAGCTCCTTCAGGTTGAGTTTAGCAAGAGATTATTTTTTGGGTTAAAATTTTACATGGGTCTAGTTAACAGTTAAAAAATTAAAACTTTCGTTTTGTATTTTTGCATTACATATATTTTCGAGGAAGGTTTAGTATATATACCGAAATTTGATTGTTTCAGCCACCAAGTGGAACGAACAATGGCCAAGCTGTCCGCCATTGAGGACGTGAACGAGGACAACTTTGAGTGGCACTTGAGTGGCCTACTGGCCGAGAGGCTGGCGCGTCGGGACAACGAGGCCCAGGAGGCTGCTGAGGTGAGGACAACTTGAGTGGCCTACTGGCCGAGAGGCTGGCGCGTCGGGACAACGAGGCGCAGGAGGCTGCTGAGGTGAGGACAACTTGAGTGGCCTACTGGCCGAGAGGCTGGCGCGTCGAGACAACGAGGCGCAGGAGGCTGCTGAGGTGAGGACAACTTGAGTGGCCTACTGGCCGAGAGGCTGGCGCGTCGAGACAACGAGGCGCAGGAGGCTGCTGAGGTGAGGACAACTTTGAGTGGCATTCGATGTTTCTAACTGAACGAGTTCTTGAAATTATAAAATCACACAAAAAATTTGACAGAAGTCGCACACTAAAAGCAATGCTTTTGAACAAAAATGATAATACATTTTTATTTATGTTATTTTAATGATTTATGTACAAACAAATTTGAAGCCTTTAATAGCGAATCTCGTTCATACTTGCCATGCTGAGTAATATGCAAGCTATCAGTGCGAGCTTAAATAATTGTCAAGCTTTTTAACATCCATTCATGCTCTCGTAACTAAACGTATTGCATTGAAATGTGCCTCCGTGCTACCCTGCATTTACTGCCTCAACATTTACTGCCTCTACACTGCCCACATTTACTGCCTCTACACTGCCCTCATTTACTGCCTCAACATTTACTGCCTCTACACTGCCCTCATTTACTGCCTCAACATTTACTGCCTCAATATTTACTGCCTCAACACTGCTACCCTCATTTACTGCCTCAACATTTACTGCCTCAACACTGCCCTCATTTACTGCCTCAACACTTATGCTCAGGGAAGTTCCCCGAAGCACCTTTAGAACTGACAACCTTAGACAATACCTAATCGAGTGTAACCTGCTGCCAGATATCTAGCACGGCACCTTGACAGAGGTCAGAAAAGACCCACACCTCCGACAAGACGTCATATTCGCGTCATCATATTACTGGTTGAGATGAAATAGCAGAAGACGGATAGAACCTGCGCCTTGGAAATAAAGAAGCATACACCCTAGACCAGATGGATCAGGCTACGAGCCTGAAACCAACGAAGAAGCCTGCCGACCCTGCAAAACGAATATTGGACCTTCGGCGCGAAATAGACGACACTGATCTGAAGCGCTAGAAACCTCTCCCTACTACTACCCTCATTTACTGCCTCAACACTACCCACATTTACCGGCAGGCGGAGGCGGTGCTCGGGGCAGCCAGCCGCCGTCGCGCGCCCACCAGAGGATCGCGCGACGATGACGACGATGAAGACGACGTCGCGGAGTGCAGCAGCGGCGACGACGACCATTACAGCGCCCCTCCTCGGGGCAGGGGACGAGGGGGCGCCCGAGGGGCCCGCGCCCCCCGTGCCAGCAGGGGTACGAGGGGCGCCAGGGGTACGAGGGGCGCCCGGGGGCGGGGCGCCGCCCCCGTGCAGAGTAGCTCCTCATCGTGGTGAGTGCTGAGGGCTGGCGTCGTGAGTGACACTATATATTTTAGTATGCGTATTGACGCTTAATATAAATTAATTCCATAGTGCGTAATGAAACATAATAAACATTTGTTGTTAAAGAATTAGTTGCCCGCTGTACACGCATTGACCTCGGAAGTAACATATATTATTATATTATATTATATTATATTATATTATATTATGTTATATTATACTATATTATATTATATTAACAATTATGTTGCTACCGTTTACATGTTTGCCGTGCAGCACATATTAAACATTTATTAACTTGTGAAAAAATTAAATGATTCTCTTTCAATTGGTGTAGAAATTATTTATTTTGAATTTAAATTTAAATAAATACGAATTTATTGATTGGGCCCATCATTTAGAAGAAGCCTTTATAATTTGCCTCATTAATCAATTTTATAATGTATCAGCGGAACACAGCTTCCATAAATTCGTGACTAACTCGATCATTACTATGTTTAATCATTATATTTTATCCATGTTATGCACGGTTTAATAAATTTTCCTGATATTGACGTTTTCACTTCGGTAGGAACACTCGAAGTCCAAACGTCAGCTCCAGCTTCAGCAGCTCTGCGGTAAATATTAATTTCCCAACTATGTAGATAATTTATTAATTCTATTCTGTATATTATTATTGACTCAAACATGTGAATTTTTCTGAAGCTTGATCGATCACGCTAGTTTTTCACCTATATCAATTATTGCGTACAGATAAACTTAGTTCTTGCTTCCTTAGCGATCACGCTAGTTTTTCACCTATATCAATTATTGCGTACAGATAAACTTAGTTCTTGCTTCTTTAGGTTCTCACTCTGCAACAGTTCATAGTTACAGCCTTTTTAGAATTTTTGACACCTATCGCGTGCTAGCCAAGATAATGCGTGTGTAATTGGATTAATATCAATGAAATCTTCGTATGTTTGTTGTTCTCAGTTGGGCTGCGGTGACGGGCTATGTACCCAAATGAATGGTTCTGATTTTTCGCACGTAGAATGAAGAAAATAAACAATTTCTTTCTGGATAATATTAGGATTGTTCCCAATATTATACAAGCAAGAGCTATCAAGCAAGCAAGCATTCTTAAACGGTTTGTGTAGTATTTGGCTCGTTTGATGTCCATCAATTGCCACACATTTTCCAATTGTCAATCATTTTGAGGTATAAAAGTTCTAGCATACTTAAATAGAGCAACATTATTGAAATAAGGGATAATCATCCGAATGTCAAACCATGAGCTTGACAATACATATTGTATTCATTATTATTTCCTCATTTCAGAGTAAAAACAATGAGCTTACCCATGAGTAAAAACCATGAGCTTGACAATACATCTTGTATTCATTATTATTTCCTCATTTCAGAGCAAAGCGCCAGCCAGTTCGTCTAGAGGCAGGAGGGGTGTCGCATACGACGACGATTCTGACTAAGAATTCAAGACGTTCCTATCATTCCAACATCTTAATGTATGACGCTATATGATGATCAAGTTTGTCTGCACTCATTTAGCTAACGCAACTAATGTCTCATTGTCTGTGATATAGAAATTACGAGTCATCCTTTAATTGATGGTTTCCTGCATTGATCTCCGCGTTGCTTAGAGCCGTGATGAGAAATTTATGTATTATGAATACATCATTGCCATAATTTGCCATACCATCATTGCCATATGAATACATCATTGCCATAATTTGCCATACCATCATTGCCATATGAATACATCATTGCATGCCTCGCCATATTTGACTTGATCGCCTTCTCAAATTATCCCTGTATGTTTTTTTGAGCTGGTCTCAGTTTACTAACCGCACTTTGTACGTCCTATGTGGCATATACTGACAATTATTCTATGTAATGAATCCAACAATAGCTCCGTGAAAAACGTTGCTTAAGGTTTTTATTACCGAGTCACATCTTTATTTGCAGCTCATGGTTATCTTAAATCTTATCTTCTGCCCATTAGCAGGAAATGAACACTTACAACTTTAAGTGTTTGTACAATCAAAATATTGCTATTCAATAAACAGTAACAACAAATTACTTTATTTTCCTCCCTGGATTGGATTCGTCGTATCTAAAATTCGCTTATAATTCTACTCGTTGGAGTCTTTGAAAGTTCATTGAATAATTAATTAATCGGGATTTTGTTCGTGTACCGTTTAATGTAATCGCTACAATTTCTTGGACGAGTATATGAAGGTTAAATGAAAAGTTGCAACTCTAATCTTATTTTATTTTAACCTTCAGCGGTGTAAGTTCATTCTAATGTCTTAATATTTCACGACAAGAGAGGTTGTGCAGTGCGTGCCTCAGCAGTTTGAGGCATCACCATCACCACCTTAGGACCACCGAACATCTCCATGATCTGCTCCAGGTCCTTGCCTTTGGTCTCCTTCACGATGCACGCAGAGAACACGAGCGCCGCCATGCAAATGGTCGCGTACATCCAATATGCGCCGAAATCCAAGATAACAATCTGGCCGCAGGATAAATAAATTAATAAATGGATACCTATCATATGTCACCTATAGTGTCTTTCTTATTATCAAAAATTGATATCATATGTCGTCTATAGTGTCTTTCTTATTATCAAACGATTGGCTGGTGACTGGCCGATTGATTAATCCAACATGTTAAATTTAAACGAAGAAACGAAAATTAATTGTTAGGAAAATCGCAACGAAATCTCTTATTATTTCATAGAACTTCAAATTCATTTGAATTCAGTGTATGAGATAATGAAAACTGGAAGCAAAAACTGGTGTGAAGCCAGAAAATCCGATGACAATCGCCGAAATCCAAGATGACAATCTAGATGCAGGATAAATAAATGAATAAATATATATCATATGTCATCTATAGTGTCTGTCTTATTATCAAACGATTGACTCGCGCCTGGCCGATTGATAAATCCGACATGTTATGTTTAAACGAAGAAACGAAAATTATTTGTTAGGAAAATCGCAATGAAATCTTCAAATACATTTGAGTTCTGTGTATGAGATGATGAGAGTTGGAAGCAAAAACTGGTGTGAAGTCAGAAAATTGAATGAAATTATTCTAACTATTATATCAACGTGCAATTATCGTACAATTGGCCGTTAAAATTTAGTGCCTCGATTGGTCAGTTTAAAACACGTATCCTTCAGTAACGTGAAAAAGTCGAATGTTTCATTATTAATAAATTCAACGCACTTATTGTAAGTGATAGTCGTTTTTAGTTACTTAGTCTCAGTGCAGTAGAGTGCGTTGACTTCCTCCTTGAGTTTTGAATCTTTTAGTGTTGAATCATGAATAATTTGATTCATGATGAATCATGAATATTTGACATAAATAACATGAATAAATAATGAATAGTGAATAATTAATTGGCACCTCACCTGAATATATTCGAAAGTGACGGTGACGACGAAGCTGAAGAACCAGTTCGCGGCCGTCACCATCGAGGAGGCTAACTCTCGGGTCTCCGAAGAGAAGAGCTCTCCTGTTTGTGGAATAATATAATATTTTATTACACAGGAGAATCTAATTATTCTAATATAATATAATATTCTCCTGAAGTGAAATAATAATATAATAAAATGACGTAATTAATGCGCGGGTTTTGGACTAATCTTACCCGGTGCAAGCGTGTACATAGCAGAGCTGTGAGAACTTTTATGAATGCCGCTCATGATGGTAATTTTGAGAATTTCTGTTTAATGATTTAGAATAGAAAGAAATATAGCGGTTTCGGCTTTCATTAGGCCGTAGGCCTGCTACCGTTTCTCTACAGCGCAGAAGATTCACAGCTTGTTGCGGTCTCGAACATGCAAATCACTGCTCCAATTCTGCTGTGCTTAACCGCCCGGCCTCCTTGCCGATTCTGACCAGAAACTGGCGCACAGAGCTGGGATCGAACCCGCGCCTCTCTGCGCCAATCTTGGTACTCTGTGAACTCTAAACACTGGGCCACCCTGCCCCCAATTATGGACAATTTACTATTTGGGATCAACATTTGCTATGTAATTTATTGAATTATTAAATTACGCACATATTTCCCACCATGCCCCAAATTAAGTTGTAATCTCTATCATGTAATGAGAATATCGTAATCCCAGGCACTTATCACGCATATGGATTCAAACGACACACTGATGTAGAAATTAGCACCAATAATAATAGTGTAGTCGCGTGCACAAAAAGGTGTCTGGTTCAAACGAAGCCATCATCTCCAAATTAACAAAAAAATATGAACCATCATAAAACTCTCAGTCAGCGTTGATTTTTTTTAAATAAATTTATCAAACCATGAAACTTGTTATGATGTACGTATGTAGGCCACAATCAAATCTTTTCGCTATTTTCTTTGTCTATGGTCGGATCTGGCAAGTTTTCTTACTGCAAATCACATCCCGTACCTCATCACTGACTTCCCAAGCGTACAACCTATTCCCTCACCCATCATCAGCCAGGGCACGGGCGCGAAGCCGATTGCGAAGCCGAACATGAAGACTACGAGAGCCAACAGCGGCAGCCAGGGAATTGTCTCCAACGTCCATTTTTCTGCGTAGTCCAACTGGTAGAAGAAGTAGCCCAGGCCAACTGGAAGAGAGAATAATTTTTCAATAACTCACAACTATATCATGACCGTAAGGGCAACATATCTTGATGAACTAAAGAAGTGTTTCGTAATGAACTGAAAACGATGCTTGTGTAAAATTTGCTTTGAAGCCTTCCATTTGGAGATAAGAAGGTAATGGCTAATAACAACTCTGTTACCTCCGTTATGAGTAAATCGACAGTAACTTAATTATTAAGGACCTCTTTATTTAACTTTAATTGTTAAATTCCACTGTCGAACTTTACAATTAAGAAACTATTTATACAAAATAAAGATAACTTTTAGGATGTACTGACCATGAGAGATGCACATCATGCCAGCAGAGATGCTGAGCAAGACTTTACGTCCAATTTTGTCGATGACGATGGAGCTTAAGAACGTCCCCAAGATGAACACGATGCCGACGATGACCGAGCTCAGGGACTCGGGTATGTCTGTTCCGGCACTCTAAAAATGCAATATACAGTGCATTTAAAACGTATTGGTATTGACAGACACACACTAGAGTGTCACGGCGTAAACGAAAAATGTTTAGTCTATGCTGAAAATTCTGGCAATATAAAAACCTTGCAAAAAGGTGCATCTCAAGTGTTAGAGGTTCTGAACGCTTTCCTTTCATTAAATGTTGCAATCGTTGCTATATCATACTGTCAATGATTTCATTTGCATTCGTCACTCTGAGATATTATTCCAACGCAGTAACTCGCTGCAAATATAATTAAGCATAGTGGATTTTTATTCGTAATAAACTTGTTCTGTAACTGCATCACTCACGAATTGAAAGGACAATATTCGTTCATGAAAACGCAGATGAAAAGATTGAAATTCAGGAGAAACTGGATGAGGAACAATTCCGCGGCAGACTGCAGCCATGCAAAATACTGTGCCAATTTTCTACCGTTGATTCATAGGCAATCGTGCTTACTTTGAATATGGTTGATAAGTTGAATAGCACGGCGTTGGCCCCCGAGAACTGCTGGAAGAACATGAGCGTGACCGACACCATGAAGGGGCGCGCGAGGTGGGGCGTGAGGAAGAGCTCCGTGAAGTGAACCTGCTTGGTGTTGCGCTCGTGGAGGGCGAGGCGCATGTTGCGCAGTTCTGACTGGACGGGGTAGTTGGGACCTGTCGTACCGGACAAATAATCGTTCACGCTTCACTTAGTTAATAAATGGGATCACTAGTCGCGGCAAAAGAAACCGCATTCGTTTGATTATTTCATTTATTGGGACCCGCGATCCCAGCAAAATAAATGGGATCATTTGTCGCGGCAAAAGAAAGCGCAGTCGTTTGATTTTTTTATTTATTGGGACCTGCGATCCCAGCAAAATAAATGGGATCATTTGTCGCGGCAAAAGAAACCGCACTCGTTTGATTATTTTAATTATTGGGACCTGCGATCCAAGCAAATAAAATTTTACACGTTTCATTTACTTTATTACTCGGACCGGGGTACAGAGCAAAAGAAACCACCGTCGTTTCGGTTATTTGGACCTGTTGCCGCAGCAAAAAAGACCACACTCTTTAATTATTTGATTATCTTGGAATGCGGTTTCACCCCAAGAAACCGTACTCATTTCATTCATACAATAATTTTGATACTCAGTAGTACGCGAATCCCATCCAATGTAAGCAAAATCTGGCGATTTACATAAGAACCTTTTCCAGTCTGTTCATCATCACTGGACGCCATTTCATACCTCAAAATTTGAAACGAACGATATTGTGTAACGATAACAAGCTCATTATTGCAAACACGAGAATTATAGAATCGTAAAAATAGTCGAAAAAACATTAATTAGGCACTTGCTAATTTTAAACCAAGATAAATATTTCATACGCCAAAATTTTATTCGACTCTTCAAGGCGAGCACCTCTTAGGAACTTGAGAGATTCAAGAGCCTCCTGGTCTCTGCCTTTACTGAGCAGGTAGACCGGCGACTCTTTATTGAAGAACATGGCTACCGTGAACAGCAGCGGTATCGAGATGCACAGGAACGCCAAGTAATACCAGTCCAAGATGATGCCGAACGAGTAGGCTACCAGGAAACCAGCGTTCACCATCAACTGGAAGCCTGAGCCTATCGAGAGAATTAAGAGTTTTAATAAACGTTAATATAATCAGTATTAAACTCAAATGGCTTTTTTCTATTACATTTGAGAAGGAAGTCTTAAGATTGACTTCTTGATGATATTGACATCATCTCTTATTATTTTTAAAGTATTTTCTCATTTATGGAATGGATTTGGATTTTCTCATCTCCCTCTTGTGCTCGTCATATCCGTCCGTCTGTCTGCCCGTCCGTGACTTCACGTTTTCGTCGACGAGAAAATGCGCTCTCTGTCACTCACTGCAGTGAGTACTGAGTTATATTTTTTTGAAACATATTAAAGTAATCACCTGATATTTCATAAAGCATAGCATCAAAAATCAAACTTTTTTCCATGTGTGTGCTGAATCGCATCGCATTTTGAGAATATTGCGAATCTCTTAATTCAAAATTAACGAGTAAATTGAAGGCAGGCAGTCCCACCCAGTGTTCCTCTGATGTCGGACGAAGCTATCTCCCCGATGTACGTGTTGACGCTCACACACGTCAGGCCGACGAAGACTCCGGTGCCGATCCGGCCAGCCAGCAGCATTGGGAAGTTCACTGCTAGAGCTGCAGGGCATATAACAAGGCACCGTGAAGTTCACTGCCAGAGCTGCAGGGCATATAACAAGGCACCGTGAAGTTCACTGCCAGAGCTGCAGGACATATAACAAGGCACCGTGAAGTTCACTGCCAGAGCTGCAGGACATATAACAAGGCACCGTGAAGTTCACTGCCAGAGCTGCAGGACACACCAGGCCCCGGGGTTCTGTGTTGAAGATGAAGTTAAACAGTTCTTTCTTTATTTCACGCTGGGTTACTGGATTTTCCGTGTTTTTACTGGAATTTTCCGTTCACTAAAAATGATTAGAAAGCAGAGAAGTCAGTTTGAATACGGGATTCTTAAATTTCAGATATTTTCTTTAGCCCGAGCAACTTCATCGTAACCTGAAAGTTGCATTATGTATCAAAATCAAGTGTAAGCGACTAATAATTATTATTCGACAAGCAGCCTAAACCGTTCCTTATCTTAAATTAATACTTATTTATTTCTGTGAATGCTGCAGTGTCGATTACTATTCCGGTTGCTTAACACTTTATTTTTTTAATAATAGTAGAGTAAGATATTAAACAGCGTAATAATTCACATAGTTGCCAAATTGAAAACTAGCAAAAAGTTTAAATTATTGCAACTTTTATAGTTATTAGTTCATGACAATTTTAGATAACATAAAAAGTTCATCACCAATCAGAAGCCATCCAATAACGGCCGGTACGAGTGACAAGAGCATTGTCCCTCTCCTGCCGAAGACGTTGAGGGCAGTTCCTCCCATGAGTCCTCCCCATAGCGCCCCCAGACTCACGACGGACGACACCCACGCCATCTGCCGCTTCCTGAGGAAGAACGTGTCGTCGAAGAGGTGGATCCCTTCAGTAGCGTTGAACGTCGTGGAGTTCATTCTTGAGGTGAGCTGGAGACCCGCAGGCGATGAGTACCCCAAGATGGCGCCCACCTCCACGGCGCCAATACAAGCTGAAGGATGATGGAACTTTATTTTATTTTTATTTTTTTGCAAAAAAATATGAGGTGGTCACAATCGCATTTTCAAATCAACTATCAATCAGGATAGTGTGAATTTGTTTTTACTAAAATATGAGGTTGTATTATATACTCATTCTACAATTCATCATTAAGGATGATATGAATTATTTTTCATCACAGTATGGGATGGTTAAATTTGCCTTGCCATTAATCAGTCAGGATGACGTGAATTAATTTCCATCATATTTACTTTAACATTTATCAATCTGGCATGTAAATTAAAAATGTTTTGAGAACGCGTATCTTCCGAAGGGTATATACTTCGCGGACACTTAGGTTACAATTTATGTGTGGTCGACAATACAAGTGAATTTTGCAGTCAAATTCAGCAGTAGCGATTAAATCTCCAAAATATTTTAATTATTCCGGTAGCAGTTCAATAATAAGTATTAAAACTTAGCAACTTTCCGCTTGTTGATAATTATGCTCTAATTGTCCACCATTGATATCTATCGCCTACGGTTTCATCTGCTGGTATGGGCGTTCAGTGTGAGAAACCTTTTGTCTGCTGTTATGATGTCATCCTTCTTTTCAGCATAGTTTTATGCTTATTTACTCCTAAAAGGAGAGAATAAAGTTTCAACAAATTGCGAACAGAGCGATAAATTGAATTTGCTATATGTTGTGAATCATTGCTGAAACTTAAAAATTAAAATTATTGAGACAAGTAAAATTGCTATTTTAGGCTTGGGAACTTCGATGCTTCCAGGATACCTTGTTGCATATTCTTCGTTATGACTATTTTTTATATATGTTACCAATATAATTAAGAAACAAACTAGGTATTTCTGCTGCCGGCTACCATTATAATTCCTTTTGAAAGTGTTTTTATGGGCGTTTATAACATGGGTATCCCGTTTATTGCAAAAACATTATGATTCGTTCCATTATGTAATTATAAAATCTACATAATATTTGGACCATAATTAAGGTACTTGCCTGATATTGCAGCGACGAATTGAGGCATCCGGGCAGCTCTGTAGGCAGCCAGAGACTCTCTTCTCTCTACGTCGTCATCCATGTTGGGCTGCTGTACAATCTATGTGTCTATGACTTTAATATGCTGCGCGTATAATCACGTAAACTGGATTTGCTGTACGAACACATGAAACGTTTCTTCTTGAACTGCAATGAGAATGCATATAGTTGCTTATTGGTGTTCGAGTACATTCATGTCATTATTGATTTGTACAGTTACCTTCATTGTTATTGTGCATGCAACTGAAATTTAATTTGCGACTTGAGCTTCCATATCTTTTGCATTGTCAATTAAAAGCGAATAACGAACAGTCAATTGAAAACTAATATATTTTCCTAGGACATAGACATTAATAAAATTTGTTGTTCGACACTCTTCGTCAGTCGTACGATTGTCCTCACATCTACGATAAATGCTGTGCACTTCCTGGTTCGTTTTTTTATTGCACTTCATTACTGTATATATACTTCGCTATATGCTGCGGCTAGTTCAAGGTAAGTTGTTGTAGAGAGAGAGCCTTAACTGTTTGGAGTCTTTTTCTTAAAAAATATTGCTTTTAAGTTTAGAAAAGCATATAAAATGAATGAATTTATTTTCAAACTATATTGAAAGTGCAAAATATTTTGAAGAAAATACATTGTAATAAAGGTTGGAAAATGTATTCATTGACTTAAATTCACTTTCATACATGAATGGTGCACCTGAGACTCGGCGCCAGCCGTCAGTGCTGAGGGACCAGCAAGAAGAAGCTGACCTTGAGGCACACGTTGTAAGCTCCAGCCATCACTGTACAGTTTAAGCGACTACGGGGCAAAGATTGTTGTTGCTTAAGTACTTATATTATTAGTCTGCTTACATCGCAAGTTCACAAGGAACCTAAAAGCAAAGAAAAGGCCAAGAAAATTCACCATATCGATATTGAAAACGTTTTCAATATCGATATGGTGAATTTTCTTGGCGTTTTCTTTGCTTTTAGGATCCTTGTTGTTGCTTGACTCGGGTCGAAAACGAGTTTGTAGTTAGGTGTGTCGCCGGAATATAATGCCATATTTTTCTGATTATAAAATGACCATACACACACGCTATGTACATTTGTAAAATCAGCCTGATTTCTTGCGAAACACAATTATCGTAGATTATTATGTTAAATACGATCTTTCAATCGCAAAATTTACCTTCACCAATTTCAATACATATTTTCTGCAATCTTAGATTCGTTGTTGGAAGCCATTGTTACGATGATAAGACGTTTTTGACTACGAATATCCATACCAGCACTATTCCTTATCGATGTACCTATGTAATTTAACACAAAGCCCCCTAGCAATCTTTTACGCATCCCCACATCCAAATCGAGTCCGTAAAACTTCGCACCTTGATGGAAGCACTTTTAATCAATATATGAACGGATGCATGGCTTTTTCGAGAAATTAAGCAGTCAGGAGTTGCACAGATGCTAACATATTCACTTGGAGCGCCTCAGTTGGCAGCCACCTAGTTTACAGTGCACGCGAGCAATGCACATGTCTTTTAACGGCAACTTTGTTTTTCTAATGTTATAATTGTTGCTTTTGTTATTATATTCCGAAATATATATTGAATTTTACGATGCACCCAAAACTCTCCTTCATATATGGAAACTGATATCTATCCTATTTCTAAACTACATGCTATAAAACCATTAAGTAGTTCCTTACGAATTCTTTAGCGTGATATTTAAATGCACCATCGTGAGAATTTAATTAAAGTAGAGAATTTTATGTACTGCACACAACTGCATGCGGTCCTCGTGCGGACAGAACTGGCTGTCTCTGAGAGACTGAGACACTGCGTATAGTTGTGCTTCCTCGAGAGGGCGGAGCGTCATTCCACGGTAGACTACCTTAGTCTACCTATACAGTAAGGACATTGTTGTGGGGTTTCCTACTCGCTGGCATGGGCTATTCAGCTCATAAGGTAACATTTTCGTATTTATACGACCATTGAGGAGACTTGACGTGCGCCAATTGTTTTTTTTTACTTCTTGGTACAAACTTTTGCACTTGTACAATCTTTTCTACTGGTACAAACTTTCTTTATAGTACAAAATGACTTATTTGTACAAATTTTCATTTTGAAAGTTATTTGGTTTAGTTTTTCTTATTTTGCTGCTTCTGAGGGAGCGCTTCATGGCTGTACTCGTCACAATTGCACGTTATTTCAGCATAGATTTAAGTGATTTTGAAGATTATAGTGCTTCTAGCTATGAATTTACAAATGGAGATTTTGTCAACTTGAATATTGTCTAACAATATTACCAATGTTATTGCTGGTGCCACTATAAGCTAAGATTAAACTAGTTCTTAATCCCTGCATATCTGTTTTTTTTTTTTTTTTTGAGGCGAAGACAATTTAGACTTTAGTCTTCCCAAGTGAATTCAATAAAGCAAAGAATCTCATGTTTATATATTCACCATGTCATGGAATATTGAGGTGTCAAGAGTGTGCTCCATGTATGTCGACGACGCAAAAGTTCATTATGCATTTCAGGAAGCGTCAAACATAGTAAAACTGCAAGATGATCTTGATAGAAAATAGACAGATTGCAAGATTAAATGGCCACCTGACTGGACCTGAGGCTCCAGGGTTCGTGTCCCTGTTCGGGCGCCAGTGTCAGGTTCCCGTTTCGGTGGCAACCTCAATGTTTATTGATTGTTTAATCAGTTCTAGACCGTCTAATCAATAGTTAATAATCTGATGGGTTTTGAGGTCTGTATATATATGTCCGAATAACTTTTGATTGGCATGGAAAGGAATAAATGACAAGACGTGTACCTAGTAGTAATTATTATACACTAGATAGGATTACAGGATAAAGGCTCCTGGGTGTAGTTTATACAAGGTAGTTTAGGAGATGCATAAGGTTACGACAATACGAGTTGAATGCCGAGTCTAGTAGTGGATGCGTCTAGAATTAGCTGCGAATTACTGCAGCTAATGGCTTTGTCTTCCTATGACTGACTTGCGGTTAGCTTGAAGAGCTTATATAGACGCTTACCACAATGACGTCACGGAAGGTGACGTGAGGGTCGCTACTGACAGCATGTGTGGTGACGTATGCACAAGTCACCTGACAGTTAATTGGGCTGATACTTGGCAGCTACGTTTTAATGCCGACAAGCGGCAAGTGTAAAGAACTAAAGAAGAACAATGAACAGGCAGAACAGCAAGATTACAGTATGAGGAGACATGGCTGCAACGAGAGAGTCATGATTGAAAAGTTGAGGGTAGGAAAAGATCCGGGAGTTTATGTCAACAAGGAGCTGAAATTTTCTAGACATGTTGAAACGCAAGCTAATAAATCCAATAAACCTCATGGACTGATCAGATGCTCCTACGAGTTCCTTGATACAGAAGCGATGAAGTTGTACGTGGCTGCCGTGAGCCCAAACCTAGAGTTTGGAAATGCCGTGTGGTCACCGAAACTTGAAAAGGACAAAAATTTAGTCCAGAGAGTTAAAAGACATGCAACAAGGATAATTCTAGACTTAAAGGGCAAGTCTTATTAAAAATATTGAAGATTATGAAGCTTCCAAACCTCAGTAATCGACGTCTGCGTGGGGACCTCATTGAAGTATACATGTATACTCATGGCGTATACAAGGTCCCAGAAGGATTACTAGAATTTGAAACAAGGACCAACACCAGGGGCCACGGCTATAAGCTAAAAAATATATAACTCAGTACCCACTGCAGTGAGTGACAGAGAGCGCATTTTCTCGTCGACGAAAACGTAAAGTCACGGACGGACGGACATGGCGAGCACAATAGTGCATTTTTTTCATAAATGAGAAAATGCGCTAAAAACTGCGCTGCAACTCATCCACGAGACAACATTTTTCCTCGCTTCGAGTCACCGACATGTGGAACAGCCTCCCCGATTACATCGTTGACGCTCCGACGCGTTCCAGAACAGACGAGATAAAGCTATGGAGAAATATATGTTCAGACTTGAAATGCCTAGCACCATATTGAACCTGGTGGAAGTCTAGTAGCTATTTCAAACTATCGTCAGTTTGGAAAAAGATCCGGTCAAAGGCCCTGTTTCTAGATATAGTGTGTCGCGAAAAGGACAAGAATCAGCGACAGGCCACACCAGGAATATTCTTCAGCACAGACATCACTATGATATGGTATATGATATGATAACAGTAACTTGACCACAGTCATAACTGCGTAGGAGTTATTGTTAAATATATCACAACTATTGCCCACTATATTTGCATAAATTTAAATACTATGCTAATAAAGTTGAGTAGATTAACGTCCCACAAATGTCGTTATTTTGAGTCATTGATTACTCGCATCGGCTTTCAGCCGACTTTTCATTGAACATTTTCAATTTGAATCAAGTTTATTTTGATATATACTTTACTTTTGACAAACCTGCTGAGTCATGCTTAATTGTTATGTTCCTACTTGGAGTTCAATGAAGATGGTGACATGCAAAATTTATGGAAACATATAAATGCCTTGGATTTTGTACTTCAAAGCTGTACAGGTGTACGATATAATTAATCAGACGTATTTGGTACTAGGTTTGAAAAACTGAAACTTTAAACTTCTTCTTTAAAGAAAGCGAAAAATTATTTCTCCTTTTTCATTCTCTTGCATGTTAAATAGCGGAAAAATCCCATCACAATTTGGGTTGGAAATCATTCCAATCCACTTCATTTTCTGTTTCTGTAAAATTATTTATCTTTGCTTAAAATATATATTTACATACATTAAGACTGATAATAAGATCCGAATCGAATAAATGGATCAACAAAAAATAAATATATAAAATTATGCCTTCTGATGCCATTTGCCGTGTTAACAAGCGATGAGAATCTAACGAGATTTTTCAAATAACCTGAGTGAAAAATTCCAAATTAATTTACATATTATTCATTTTTGCTTTGTAACTTTTCTGAAATTGATAAATTGGGCGTATGCAAAATGTTTTCATAAAAATAACTGCAACCGAGTTTTGGGTTCTGATGGTATTTTCTTACCGTAAAATGTCACCCGTCAGACTCAATTTGACGACGTCAGTTTATGCCTGACAGTTGAGCTTCACGCATGTGGTGCGGTGGCGGTCATTCTTTATACTCTTAATTATTCTTCAATCGTACAAATTTGTGTCAAGCAACATGTCTTCCGACAACAATGTTGACATTCAGGAACATGACGAAT